CTGTGGTTGCCCCACCACCACCCACAGCAACTGGTATTCTATGGCATGCTGCCTTTCAACCTGGAGATCCCATAATGGCCAACACCTGCTTATAGAACTCTCCTCCATCAGTTTATCTAATTGTCTGTTTAAAGCCATCTGGGCTGGTGATCACTGTAAGGATAGATTTGATTATACCTTTAAGAACCCAACCCCTATCTTGTTTAGGATGTCAGGCCCAAGGAAATGTGTTGCCTTGCCCCCAAGAAAGAGGGGGCCCAGGGCCTCATGGCATCAGTGTGCAATGCATGCATGCCCTGGGCCATGCTGATGTTGCACATGGATGCTGACGTCATCTGTGCACACCCAGTGGTGTGCAACCACTGCCACCACAGAAGTTGGGGTGGCCCTCTGATTTAGAATTTTGTGGGGGGGCTTGGCTCCCACAGCCCCCCCCCCATACTTGGCTCCCCTGGGCCTAAACAGAAGGTAGAGCTAGAAGCCAGAGTGAGAAAGTAGTTAAATGAAAGAAGGCCTTGTTATACACAGTTCTTTAATAAAACTATTGCTTCTTCAACTCTTCTGCTTATTATTAAACAGAGAACATTACAACCATTGTTGCATCTGATGAGAGTGAGTTCCACAGGAATACAGAAAGCTGTCTCATGTCAACTTCAGTTGGGTAAGGGGAGAAATGAATACAACTTGCCTCTTAAAAGTGAACCTGCCTCATTTGCCCTCTCCAAATCAATATGCAACTGTCATTCAAAATTCATGTACAAAAATTCACATACTAAAATGCATACAGTGGTACCTCAGGTTAAGAACTTAATTCGTTCTGGAGGTCCGTTCGTAACCTGAAACTGTTCTAAACCTGAAGCACCACTTTAGCTAATGGGGCTTCCCGCTGCTGCCGTGCCGCCAGAACACGATTTCTGTTCTCATCCTGTAGCAAAGTTCTTAACCCAAGGTAAAATTTCTGGGTTAGCGGAGTCTGTAACCTGAAGCGTATGTTACCTGAAGCGCATGTAACCTGAAGCGTATGTAACCCGAGGTACCACTGTATATGTTTAGGGAAAGTGTGCACAACAATGGGTATATTAGAGAAAACAGCATTTTAAAAAATGCATTATATTGCTGATTCTCCCCCTCCCCCACAAAAACGCACATGGGAGGCAAATTTAAAGTCAAAATGTGTATTTAGGAGAAATGCACACAAAAATAAGTAGAAATGTTACTGGATTTTTAATTTTTTTAAAAATCCATAAATGGATACAGAAATAGCATGAACTGAACTTAATGTTGAAATAATTGGAAGCCAAGAAAAATGGACTTTGGCAGGTGGGTAGCTCATGTGGTTAGAGCATGGTGCTGTTAACACCAAGATTGCAGATTTGAGCCCCTTATGGGACAGCTGCATATTCCTGCATTGCAGGAGGGTTGACTAGATCAGGGTGGTCAACCTGGCTCCTACTGCCCACTAGTGGGTGTTACAGGATTCTAGGTGGGCGGTGGGGGTTCTATGGCACAAGCTGAATCCACCCTCCATCAAGCACGGGTGGGTGGGAAGAAAACTTTACCATCAAGAAAGATGCATTAGCGGGCAGTAGGTATAAAAAGGTTGACCACCCCTGGACTAGATGATCCTCAGGGTACCTTCCAATTCTACAGTTCTATGATTCTGTGAATCTATGAATTGTCCATGCATAGGTTATATATAGCCCATTATTTGGGAATATCAGAAAATCCCTGTTGTATCATCCCAAAAACCCATCCAATCAGGCATCCTATTTTCATTGCAACCAACCAGACGCCTACAGGATACCTGAGAACAGGACCTGAGTGAAGCAACAACTCTCTCCCAAATTGTGTTACTCTGATTATTTTGACTTGGAGCATCTCTCCAAGATCTCAGAAAGGTCTCCATCACCTTCTATGTGATCTTTCCCCCAAAAGATTCCAGGGAATTGATATGAAGGCTTTATGCATGCAAATCATGTGCTTTGCCTCTGCGCTATGGTCCTTCCTCATAATTTAATCATTCTCTATGTGAAAATGTCCATCCCTTTCTATACCCTGTATCTCCTAATAATCAGCATCATTGAACTACTGCAGATATTAGGAGGGGGGAGGGGAGAGATTGGCCCACTCTTCAATAATCTTTTTCCTAACCTTCTTTGGCTCGTGAATGTGATCCTGGCTTTTGATTTTCAGTATGAAGCCCTGCATTGATTTATTTTGATGCAGATTCTTTAATTGACAGGTGTGCAAGCTGAGTTGCAAGAAAGGAGGTACAGTAAGGTTAAGGTGTGAGTGGAAACTAAATGGCTCTGTTTGAAACCCATAGGAGCCAACCAGAGTGCAATTTAACAATTTCTCTTGCAGTGTATTAGGACTTGGACTTTGTGTGTGGTCCATTGTTCAGTTTATAATGGATGCGCTGTTGGCTTGCAGAGTTACTGAACTACCCAGGTTTTTTTTGCTCCTTTTCTTTGAGGGGGGATAAAGTGCTTTGAGGTACTCTATGAATGAACGTCGTACTGAGAAACCCTAATCTATTCCATATTGCACAATGAAAAGCAACTCCACTGAGCCCTGATGAATTGTAGTACTTTCCCCTCTTTTGCTCTGAGTACATGGCAAATCTGAAGGGACTCTGCAAGGTGTGTCTGGAACCCTTTTCTTTCGTTGAGGCCCTTCTTCGTGTCCCCCCACCATGAGAGTCCAGGAGGGCAGCAACACAAGAACGGGCTCTCTGTTTTTGGAATGCTATCCCTAGGGAGGCTCGCCTGGCCCCTTCGCTAGGCGCCAGGTCAAAACGTTTCTGTTTAACCAGGCCTTTGGCTGATTAAACATTATGTAGCCTACTAAATGTGTTTGTGAGAGATGGGGTTATTTTTTTTGTGGGGGTTATTATTATGTATTTTATGTTCTCATTTTGTACTTTTATGTTGTGAATTGCCCTGTGATCTTCAGATGAAGGGTGGTATGCAAATTCAATAAATATAAATATAAATATAAATAAATAACCCACCAACCCCCAAAAAAGTAAAGGAAGAGATTAACAAGTGGGACATGCAACAAAATATTGCAGCATGAAGTGGTTCCACTGTCCAGGGTTCCTGCCAATCAGCTGTGAACACTCCGTTCTGTTTTCGCTTTCCAGTAGTTTCCTGTTTTTCCCACTACCAGCCTCAACAGTCAGCCAGCATCCCATGCCCAGCCTCAGTTGTGTTTGACTACATAAGCAGTAGAACTCAGAGAACTGGGATTTCGAGGAGGATGCACCCAACACCCAAAATGTTGGACAGATCCTGGTGTGCCTGGAGCAGATGAGACCAGTAGGAGGGGGGGCTCGTAAGCCTGCAAAGCTGCCCCATCTACGACAAGGAAAACTCTGATCCTAAGCCTCTGCTGCCTTGTGGGATATCTTTGGGAGAAGAAAAGGCTAATGAGTAAATCCTGCACAAATACAGAGTGGGGTCCCTAAGATGGTTGTACACCTCCTTCCAGCAACTCCTGCAGTCAAGCTGGTGCCAAATGTATTGCTCTGCTTTCTTTTGGATTTTCAGCAAGGCTGAGAGAGGAGGCTTATCATCTGGGCAGGCAAGGACCTCCATACGCACTGCCCAGGCTAGCATGCCAGGGAAGTCACTTCACTGCTGCTGACACTTCAACCCCAGAGGCACAATCCATTGTCTCTTGAAACAGACAGAGGCCAACTCACAACACACATCTGTTTCCCACCAGCTTTTGCCTCTGATCTAGGTCATGAGGAATATGGCCCTCAGTTTCGAGGGGCCCCCTCTACACCTCTGCTTGAAAGGAAGATTGCAAACTTCCCTTGTTGAAATGGCTGCAAGCAGTGGGTTTGTGGCCACTTTAAAAACTCTAAATATTTTTCATGGTTAAAAAAAAAGTCTATTTAAACAGTGTGGGGTTATTTTAATCTCAAATTGGCATTTTCAAGAGAAAGAACTTTTAAAAGAAAAAGGAATCTTGAGCTATTTTTTCTTCTTCCATGTTTCCTCACTTTAATTAATTTAAAATGAATGAAAAGTGCTTCATGCTCTAAGATCCTGAAACTGTCGGCATCAGCTGACTCTCAGCCTCATCTTCAGACTGAGCTGTGGGTAATTCTTGTCTTTGATGTCTTTTGAAGTGTTTGTGGCTTAGGCTGAGGCAGTTTTACATGGCAAAGCCAATGGCTTTTAAATATTTGAGGTCGAATCCTCAGGATTAGGGAGAGCCACTGCTGCAAGAAATGTGCTCCCAGGCACAGACCTCAAAGAAGGCCCTGTAGCTTCTGAGGCCTTGTAGGTGGTGGGATCATGGGATCACTTCCCACCCCCTTAAAAAAACAAAAACAAAAAAAAGGCAACCCTCAAGGAGGAGAATTAGTTAGAATGTACCTAAATGCACAGACTTGGATTTTGCTGGTCTTTTCAAAACTCTCTTTTCACTTCTCTTAAGTAAGAATTCCAAATGCACTTTTGAAAATACCCAAAGAAAAAATAACCATGCAGTTTGTAAAAATTATCCTAGTGTATTAATTTGCTATGTATTACTTTGTCATGTTACCTTATTTTTGCAAACTGCCCTGTCACCGTTTCTGGTGAAGGGCAGTGCAGAAATCTCAAAAGAAAAAGTAAGAAATTTCACTTGGTGGCATTGTACGTTTCTGAGGTTGGTCCGAAGGCTGCAGCCGCACCACACTGGCTCTTGTTATTTAACAAAGTAGTAGTTCGAAAGCACGTCAAAGTGCAAGTAGATAAATAGGTACCACTTCAGTAGGAAGGTAAACGGCATTTCCATGTGCTGCTCTGGTTTCGCCAGAAGCGGCTTAGTCATGCTGGCCACATGACCTGGAAGCTGTCTGTGGACAAACGCCAGCTCCCTCGGCCACTACAGGGCAGAGTCCTGCCGAACTGCTTATGGGCTGCCGCCTCAGGTCCCCGCTCGACCGGCTGCACCCAGACTTTGCCGTGGCCGAACCCCAAGGCTGTGCCAACACGCCACGATCATTTGTTCCAGGAAACCAGGTCTTTGCCCGGAACTTTGTGGGGGACATTCCTTGGGTGCCAGCCACAGTAGTGGGAGTCACTGGACCTCGCTCGTACCAGGTGGCACTCGAAGACCGACGCTTGTGGCGCGTAGTGGTTGCAGAGCTTCTCTTTAATCATGTCCCACGGTGCTGCCTGGACTTCTACAGGTGCAACCAATGCTCGGGCCGTCTCAAACACCTCAGGCCCACAGAGGCTGAGGAATAGGCCCCGCTTCCGCTCCTGTGATACTTCTGTCAGCTCGTTGGCTTGGAGGTAGCAGTCGAACCGAGCGAGGTAGGAGTCCCATGATTCAGAGGCTGGGATAAACGGCAGTAGAGGCACGAGTGAAGCCATGGTTCCAACGCCGACGTGGAGGCGATGGATAGAACACCGTGCTCTAGCCAGAACGGTCAGCTCTGAATTGGTTCTGCTCCATTATTTCGGTCAGTGATTCAGCTCAGTGATTCAGCTCAGAGAGTGACCGCATCTGACTGTGCTCTGATGTCCATCGATCCCACCTTCGTGTTAAGTTGTGGGTGAACATATCAGACGACACAGCGATTCTTCAAACAGCTCTTGTTTATTCACAGGCCAGAACAGAACTGAACTGAAGGGTTCAGTCAGCCTGCTTATATAGAGCTCCAGTACAATGTAACTGTAACAATTTTCTAAAACTATCCAATCACTGAACGTCACTTTCAATCCCTTATTTGCATAACTATCTACAGTATCCCCCTGCTGGCCCAGGGTGAGAACTTCAGTACATAACAAGTGCTGCAACCCCAGAATCGTTCGCGAATGGACTTAACTGTCAGGGGTCCTTTATCTTTACTTTTAGTTCAGTGTAAACTCAGACAATTTATGGGGCACTACTTCCACAGAGGAAGTATTTTTATTCAAAGGCCACTGTTGGCTCCAAAAGGAGATAGCAGAAGCAAGGCTATTACTGGCTAATGCAGGTTTTCCCAAACTTGGGTCTCCAGCTGTTTTTGGACTACAACTCCCATTATCCCTAGCCAGCAGGACCAGTGATCAGGGATGGTGGGAACTGTAGTCCAAAAACAGCTGGAGACCCAAGTTTGGAAAACCCTGGGCTAAGGGGTAGGTACAACCTACCCCCTTTTCTGCTGCATCTGGAGAACAGCAGCTTGTTGGAGGAGCCAGAAGTTAGCCCCATTCATGAAGAGCAGGAACTCAGCTGTGGCTGATTTCCCATGGGGAAGCATATTAATTTTGAGACCACCATTGATGATGAATCACTAGCAGTGCATCAGCCCAGGTGGGGTAGTGCCAAAGGGGCACATGCCAAAAAATAATTGTGTGTTATGTGGTAAGGGTACTCCCAATGGGCAATTGATTGACTTGCTCCTTGGAGCAGCTGGGGGGGGGGTGGTTGAATGTGAAATAACTTGGCTTCTAATTGAGAGATGGAATGCAAATGAATCATGTATATAGTGAGAGCATGCAATTCACAAATGCATATCCAGTGTTATTGGTTGGTATTTCATTATTTTGTTGTTTTATATTGTTTTGATTCATTGATTCTCCTTTTGTTGCATCTTTTTTCCTGTTCATATGCTGTTTGCTGCTTTTGAGTCCTTTGGGTCAAAAACTGTGTACAAATAAACCATAACATACTCAGGCCTATGTGACATTAACATATATGAGAGAGTGCTGGAGGGGAAATAGTTAAATAGGTTGCACAGACAGGACCTGGGGGGTGGAGTCAGTGGGTCTATAAAACTAGAGAGACAGTTAGGGCAGTGGGTTCTTGAGTGTGGGGAGGTAGCAGAGATAGAGAGAGGAAAATAAGACTAAGAAAGTAAAGAGCAACAATGTTTGGAATGCTGTAAAAGTTTTGTTTGTGTCTGAAATAAAATACACTCTTCTTTATTAATTGAAAAGCTGACTGAGACTGAAGTGATTTTACCAGGGAGGACCTGGTTGGTGGCAGCGGATTAGTGGTGTACGGGTCAATAGTCCGTGAGGTGACCGGGGGCTCCATACAAACGCCACAGCCTATGCAATCCTTAGCAATTTTAGGCCAGGCAGGGCAGGAGAGATTTCAGCTCAGGGGATTTAAGCAGTTGAAAAGTCTTCTTTGGATGATAACCTGTGTGGTGGTAGTTGTAGTTAAAGTGTTGGGCAAGCACTGGAGAGACCCCAGTTTAAATCTCCACTAAACCATGAAATGTACAGGCTGGCCTAAGTCTAATCACCTGCCTCTTTCCCTAACTTACCTCACAGGGTTGTTGTAGGATGAAATGCAAGGGAAGAACAGTGTATATACCACCTTGAGCTCCGCAGAGGAAAGATGTAGCTGTTAAATAAATCAATATATTCAATGTTACATTGCAGGGTAGAATTATTTGTTTTAATAGCATTTGCCGTGGTTTAGAGAAAGGTCATAGCTGAGTGGTTTAACTCTGATGGCCATCATTTCTAATATGTCATCATAGCTCAATGGGTGGAATTCAACTGAATTTTACTCACTGAGGTTATTGTACCTAGCTTAGTCATGCGCATTAATTTCAATGGGTCTATGCTGAGTAAAACGTGGTTAAATCCTGGTGTTTCCTACTTCCTTCCTCTGAGTATAAGTGATGCAAATGAACCAAAAAATACATCAGGGTTTTTTCCCCTGATTGCTTGTATAATAAAGGTAAAGAGACCCCTGACCATTAGGTCTAGTCGGGGCCGACTGGGGTTGCGGTGCTCATCTCGCTTTATTGGCCGAGGGAGCCAGCGTACAGCTTCCGGGTCATGTGGCCAGCATGACTAAGCCACTTCTGGCAAACCAGAGCAGCGCACAGACACGCCGTTTACCTTCCCACCAGAGCAGTACCTATTTATCTACTTGCACTTTGACATGCTTTTGAACTGCTAGGTTGGCAGGAGCAGGGACTGAGCAACGGGAGCTCACCCCATCGCGGGGATTCGAACCGCCGACCTTCTGATTAGCAAGTCCTAGGCTCTGTGGTTTAACCCACAATGCCACCCACATCCCAATTGCTTGTATACCACCCACCAAAAAAAAAATGTCAGAAAGCTTTAGCAAAGGCTTTTGTAGGTAGAGTGTAAGGTAGGAACATGCTTGTTAGCTGTGGGGAAAAAAGTCATCATTTTATTATTTACCTTGCCATGCTATTTATTAGCAGGAAGTCTAAGCACAATTGGTTTCTATAATACTTTTTTACAAGTCAGCATATTTAGATTTGTTGCCATAAGCCTTCCTGTACACCAAGCCATCTTTCTCTTGCAAAAGCACCAACAGAATCCTTGTAAATGAGATGAATATCAGAACATAAGATTGTTGTTAGTCTCTGGGCCATTTATTTACACGGCCACTTTCCATGAGAGATCATTTTAATCAGGCCACATAACAGAGGGAAAGTGTTCTCTATTGTGGGTGGGTGGGGCTTAAGCAAACTAAGCCTCAGCGTAAAAAGCTGTAATCAGATGTGAAATTTACTGGCAGCCAAATTAGCATCTAATTGCCGATTTCCCATCTGATCTACAAACCCAGTTAAGTCCGAGGGCTTTGATTGTATCTGATTTTATTCCGATGAAGTCGATAGAACATCCTTGGCTTATATCCATTCACTCTGGCTTAACTGCATTGCTCCTGAATGACTATATTTTCCCCGGCTTCGGGCCATGTTGCAAGAACTGTTCCATCTGCATTTGGAAATGGAGACATTTGTATGACCTCCAAAAATGACTGATAAAATTGGGACACTTAACAGCATGCAAGAACACTTGTTTTCACATCCATATAATCTGAACTGCTATCTCTCTAGCCCTTTCTCTCTCTCTTGTACGTGTGCACAAACAAATGCCAAATATTGTTAATAGGCAAGGGCCAAAATGATTCAGGTGAAAATGACTTGAATTTCAAAATGGTGCCAAAATGAGGATAAAGTATTTTAAGGAAATAAGACCACCTCCCTCCACCCCTGACAAGGGACACTGACATGGTTTTACTGGACCAATGTCTTCCAGTAGTTGGGACACCTTTTCTAGCCCAGGGGCCACATTTCAAACTTTCCGAGGCCCACATTCCAATGGTGGGTGGGCAGAGAGGCAAAAAGTGGCTGGAGAAACTCATGAGACTTTGTTTTTTCACTGTAGGCTACTTTCCAGCTACACAGAAATTTCTCAATTCTCTAGCCAGATAGAAACACTCAAGGAAGTTGCAAAGCAGGGCTGGTTGGAGGTGTGGCCTGTGGAGTTGGGGCATGGCCTAGTGCACTGGTTCGCAAACTCTCCCATCCACCCACTGTCAAAACTACCTGAAAAAGGTTGCTGGCACTGGTGAACCGCTTAATGATTTCTCTGCCTATTATGGTGATTATAATGCACTGTAAACAATAGATGCTGTGCAGTTTTTAATTGCATTTTTCCTGCTTTTTTATTGTGCTTCATTGTATCACAATTTGAATTCCCCAGAATTCAGTACAGTGGTACCTCGGGTTAAGTACTTAATTCGTTCCGGAGGTCCGTACTTAACCTGAAATTGTTCTTAATCTGAAGCACCACTTTAGCTAATGGGGCCTCCTGCTGCCGCCGCGCCACCAGAGCACGATTTCTGTTCTCATCCTGAAGCAAAGTTCTTAACCTGAAGCACTTCTGGGTTAGCAGAGTCTGTAACCTGAAGCGTATGTAACCTGAAGCGTATGTAACCCAAGGTACCACTGTATTAGAAATAAAAGAAGGAATAAAATATAATAAAAAATATATGTGTAAGAATGAAACTTATGGACTATGCAGAATTGGACAAATTGACTGGGAAGATCAGATATCAACGGGATCACAAGTTCATCGAGGACTGGGGAAAGTTTACAGATTATCTGAAAAGCATATGTGACGAACAGACAACGCTAGTGGGATTTAAAGAGGCTTTGTGAAAGTTAAAGATGTATTGTAAAAAAGAAATAGAACTGAAAGGATAATATTAAATGGCAATATTACATATAGAGAATGCGTAAAAATGGAAAATATGGATGATTGGTGGAGAAGCTGGTGGAAGTCCAAAAAGTTGAAATTTGTGAAAATTGTTTGAGATGGTGAATTTGTAAAAGGAAAAAATTAATAAAAATTATTACACAAAAAAAATATGTGTGTGAAATATTTGATATGATGAATGTGCTGCAGATCCATATCTATCTGCATGAAGACTGCAGACCACAGTTTGGATAGAGAATCATGGGGGCTGCATTTGCCCCCCTAGCCTGAGCTTTCCACCCCTTGTTTAAAGCTTTTCAAGTTGCCTTTACCCAAATGTCCTAATTTGAAAGCTCTCGAGTCTTTCTCCTTTTTACCTTGGTTCCTGCCTGTGATCAAGTGGATGGAATTTTTTATTTTTTACACTCAGGGCTCATTAGCATTTCTTGCAGACTGTTGAGTGGATAGCAAATAAAGCAGGAAGTGTCCCAGCTGTTGGCAAGAAAAAAATGGAATTATTCATTGCTTACTAATGTCAAATGCTAATGGGAGAAAAGTATCCTTGAAGAGAACCTTGACTAAAATTCATTAGAGGGAGATCAAATCACTGTTTTAATTATGCATTTTTGAAAAGGTGTATTTATTAGAACCAATTCCGACCTGCCATGCACCAGCTTCTGATACTGGCGAGGTGCCACTGACTTTGACAAAGTTGACTCCAGCATACAGAAAATGAACTCTGAATCCAGTAGTACTGTAATCCATCTTGCCACTTTCCTATTCCTTCATGCCTCACTATTCATCCATAATAGGAATCTGCTTTTCCAGCTAGGTCACTTAGGGAGCAATCCTATGGGCCCTGGAAGAGTGTCCAAGAGACTATAAAGTTGGGATGTATGAAGGCACAGTTTTCCACTCTGCCATGTCTGTATTCATTGCATGCAGCACTGTTTCTCTTCCACTACAGTTCATCCTCTGCCAAGAAAACTACATTATTTGGATCACTGTCCTTTGAAATTCATACTTCTCAGAATTTTGCATTGCAGTTCTCCAGCCAAGTAGTGTGAACAAGAATGCACATACTGACCCAAAGTGCGTAAGATGCATGTTAATGAAAACAATATTTTAAAAATGCATTATATTTGCAAAAATTGCATACAAAAATGTGTATATTAGAATAAATTCGCACTAAAATGCTTATGAATTTTATATAAATGTGTCAGTATCTAGATATCTAGATATATGATGTGGAAATGTGGAGAACTGAATTTAAAACTGTATAAATGAGAAACTGAGAAAAACCAAAGGGGCTGGATTGGCCCTCTTTCTCTTAAGTTTCATTTGAGCTGCTGAGACATTTTTGATTCTGCTGAGACTTTAACATGGGCTAAAGTTTTGCCCATTTGTATTTATGCTGAACTGGTTGATTCTCCTTTTTTATTAATTGGTTTTAGTAACTTGAAGTTGGTTTGTTTTTAATTGTGGTGTGTATATATATATATATATATATATATATATATAATTTTGTTCATAAGCAACTTTACATTTTTTCATGAAGTGAGGCATGCATTTTTTTTAAAAAAAAATTAAAAACCCTTGTCTGAAATTTGCCCACATTTAACATCCCTATGACACCTGAAGCAGGTGCACTGACTGGCACTATGCTACTGGGCGCAGTTCAAGGTTTGGTTTTCAGCATTCAAAGCCCTAAGCAGGTTACCTACTATGTATCGTTTCCCACCGCCTGCTTTCCTCAAATAGGGCTTTCCCCTACATTGTGTAAAGCCACAAGTAAATTCTGAGCATCTTCTAATGTGTGCCATGGATCCATTTTCACAGCTTGCTGATGTGCCGAGCAAGGGGGACTATTTTAAATGCAGTTCCAAATAAGTTCTTGAACAGATCCTGGGAGCCTCAAAGGAAAACCTTTTCCCTATGGCATGAATGGGTGGTTAAATTAAATATATTTCACAAATGACTTGATGACATGAAACTTTAAAAAAAAGAAAAAGAACAGATGGGGAAAGTTAATAAATATTTCATTTTCTAATATAAAATTCACTTCCATATTCACAACTTCGGGGATCCTCTGCTTTGCAGGTATCAATAAGTCTGATGGATTTCACATTCCGTTCTCATGCTCCTGCCCAGGCGACTCTTACGAGATCATCATTTGTACATGCTCGGGTTGTTTTATGGGATCGATGAAAGGCAAATGACTGTAAATCTTCCTCTGCTCCTGGATTCTCATCTTTTATTCTGTGTGACCCATAAGTGTCCGTCCTGACATCAGATGGGTTATTAAAATGACAAAAAAAATTATCCAAAAAGAGAATTTATAAAGCAAAATTATCACTCGGGGATCTGAGGGGGAACCAGCGTAATCCTAAAGGTCATAATGGTAAAATGCTTCAGATTAAGAAATGAAAATACCTATCTGCGGGCTGGAAAGGAGAGATGTGTGACTTTCCTTTTGCTTCAGGGAGGCGTGAAATAAAAGCATAGCCAGTGGTCAGAGCTGATAGGAGGTGTAGCCCAAAAGTATCTCCATAGGATCCTCAACTCTGTTTTAGTTCTTTTTTTAAAAAAATCCTTCATATTGGAGAGCTTCAGAGTTTTGAGCTCTCAGAGCCCGCCTTACCTGTTTCTGCTTTTCCCATAATGTATCAGTTGCAGTTTAAGACTGGAAGGATAGTAGTGAAGAAACATGGGGGGGGGGGTGCCTTGGAAATCCCAGGTAATATTTGAATGCCACTACATCAGTCACTTTCCTGTTTTCACAGGGGCAAACCAGGTGCTCGTGGGAAACCTGCAAGCAGGACCTTAGTACAACAGCACTCTGTACAATAGCCAGTTTGCAGCAACTGGCACTCAGAGGCATATTGCCTCTGACAAAAGAGGCAGAAGATAGCCATCAGGGTTAATAGTTATTGGTAGCCTTAAAAAGGTAAAGGGAAAGGGACCCCTGACCATTAGGTCCAGTCGTGACCGACTCTGGGGTTGTGGTGCTCATCTCGCTTTACAGGCCAAGGGAGCCGGTGTACTGGTTCCGGGTCATGTGGCCAGCATGACTAAGCCGCTTCTGGCGAACCAGAGCAGCGCACGGAAACGCCGTTTACCTTCCCGCCGGAGCAGTACCTATTTATCTACTTGCACTTTGACGTGCTTTCGAACTGCTAGGTTGGCAGGAGCAGGGACTGAGCAATGGGAGCTCACCCTGTTGCGGGGACTCGAACTGCCGACCTTCTGATCGGCAAGTCCTAGGCTCTGTGGTTTAACCCACAGCGCCCCCCACGTCCCTATAGCGCCACCCGTGTCCCTATTGTTAGCCTTACTCTCAATTAATTTGTATAATTCTCTTCTAAAGCCATCCAAGCTGGTAGCCACCACTGACTCTAAAGTAAGGTTGCCATATTTTGAAGAGGGAAAAAAGAAGACGCATTTGCCAACTTCTACTATGGATCAGTATGGCGACTCTACCCATGAAAAAGAGGGCATGTCCTGGTAAAAGAGGAAGTATGGCAACCCTATGAAAGGCTTGGTTTTCATGTTGATGTCAAGCAAACCTCACCACCTATGGGAACATCCAACAAAATTCCTGCTGTTTACCTCAGTGGCTGGGGTGGGATATAAGGGTTCAGGTGGTCCCTAGGGTACCCTGGACCAAGTTGTCCTGGACTTTGTAACAAGGAGCTTCAACCTGGCTCAGTGTTCCTACCTGAAACCCTAGAGAGCTGTTGCAAGCCAGTGTAGACAGTACTGAGCTAGGTGAGTCAAATACCTGGTATGGCAGCTTCTCATATTGAACTGAGCAGGGGCAGTCGTCATTTAAAACTCTGCAGTACAAACCAGATTGCATACAGTGTTAAGATTAGCAGGCTTTGATAGAACTGAAGGTTCTGTGCAACAGAATACAAAGGTAACTTAATACACAAACAGTACATTTAATCGTATGGTGACTGCCAAGCCTTCTGAAGTTAGTGGGTCCACTAAAGTTTGGGATTCAATGTCTTCATCAAGGTTTGCAAAGAATCAAAGAATTATTTTGCCCAAAATATAAATGCAAACAAAATACATGTTCTAAAACCAACATAGTTCCCCTGTTTCATCTTCTCAGCATAACGCTACGTTAAAATATTTAAAAGACATGTTAACAGTCACCCTTTTATGTCAGTTGAAGTATTTTTTTCCTTTTAAAAACATATATATTTAATTAGCATTTACAAATAGAGCTAATAGTATACATGATGTCAGCCAGATTTGATTGCATTCAACAAGAAATAAGGTCAATTGGGACTTAACGCTGAATATTTATAACTGTGGTTAATATAAATATTGAAGAGACAGCCAGCATTTCACCATGCTCACTTAAGTGCAAACTGCATCCCACTGAGGACAATTGCACACACACACATGAATGCACTCATGCTTCATCGTTGCTTAAATTTAGGGACAAAGATTATAAACCTTGATTTGCAACAATTTAGCCACTAGGGGGCGTCTCTCAGAGGGCAGCTTTACCAAGGGCTCCCAAAATCTGGAGATCCGTGTCACTCAATATTTCTCCGCTGTTTTGAGGTTTAAGATTTGAACAGTTTAAGCCTCTGTGCATACAGGCATGCACATAAATTTATTGTGTATCGCATGTTATTTTATCACAGTGATGGTGAGTGGTGTGCTTCTATTAGTCCACTGTAGTAACAGGTTCTCCAGACCAGGTAAGCATCTGAAGACGCTGGTGACTATTCAAGCTTGCAGAGGGATCTTGATAAATGTGCTGTTCCCTATTTGTTTCAGTGGAATGATCCATCCCACATGCACCCAGCAATACACACATGGACTAAGTGGTTCGATTTACATGATTTCGGATGCTGTTCTGGGTATGGGATTTCCATGGGGGACACTGGGTTGGGGACAGCCAGTATTCAGCCCTCACCAACACTGTCCATGCAGAAATCGCTGGAATGTCTGGGAAAATCAAGTTCAACAACTTTTGTGCCCAGATTTTCATGTTTTGAAATATGGCAACCCTAAGGTCTTGCATAATTTGATAAATATTTCTCTCCTTCAGTTGTTTAAAAGCTAATCTTTAGCTCCTATAGATGTGGAAGTGAGGGTAAACTCTCACATCTGGGCAAAGCCCAGTGAAATTCTTAGAGCAGTAGATGGGGATTCTATTAGCTCTCTGGGGTACCTCTGGAATATTAGTGAATGGGAAAAGGCTTTAGGGCCTTGCACAGCTTCTTCTGCAATGTGTCTCCAGTAGGGATGGTTGGTGGTGGATTTTATTCAGTTGTCACTTAAAAGAGAAGCTGCTTAAACTGCACTTTCCCAAAAAATGAGCAAACTGAAGCACAGCCATACTCCGACACCTGCCCTTATCTGAAATTTGCAGGGCAGATCTGCAGCCAAGTAATATGTACAGAAATGCATATACTGAGGGTAAAGCATGCATTGAAATGTATATATTAATACAGCATACAAAAATGCATTATCCTCAGGGATAACCCACTTGCAAAAATGGGTATATTGCACAAAATTACATAGAGACATGTGCATATTACGAAAAATCAGCATTAAAATTATGCTTAATTTTCAGGAGTAATTTTTAATATGGGGGGGATACAAACTGGTATACAAATGTGGAGAACTTACCTTGAGATTGAAAAATGATAGAAATTATAATTGGCAGGTCCAGACATCACTAGGTCTACATTACAAATGCATACCAGTTTCAAGCCTATTTACATTTCATGGCTCTCAAATGAGCAAATCATTCTGTAGAAGAAGCTAGGATGCCTTGGGATCAATGAGATGTGATAGAAAAATGTGTTGTTCCCATTGGGTTCCAGGAAATGTAGCTGGTGAGGAGGCTGCACAGGGAGCCAATCAGGGGAGGCTTCAAGAAAGAAAGAAAGAAAGAAAGAAAGAAAGAAAGAACCAGAAACCCTTGGCCATGTCACATGGATACCTATGGCAAGTGGCAACCCCCTTCCTAAAATTTTGGAGAGTTCCCCTCCCTCTCCTTACACCCACCCAATGCTGGCTAGAGGTAGTAGAAGCTGTGGACCGAAACAAGAGGGAGGGGGACACCAGGTTGGCAAATGTTGAGGTATTAGGGCATGTTGAATTTTTCAACTTTCATATTCCCCAAATGAGGGGTGCTAAAAAGTTGTAACATGACTTGGGAATCCAAAGCATATTTTGGGTAAATTAATATGATTTCATTTTGCTTGGTATATAACTACATAACAATACTGACGTGTGTGTGTGTGTTTTTTTGCATTTCTAATAATTTTAAACTTGCCTTATTAAAAAAATATTGTGGGGGGAAATGTGTGGAAAACTGCATGAAAATAATTAAAAATGATTGCTAAGTACTTGCAGTTATATTACTTGTCCATCAGTGCTGCTGCTACTACCATCCCAACCACTGGGAATTGACCTACAATGACTTCTAAACAGAGAACAAGACTGGGGACATTGGTGCATATGAGCAACCTAATTGGAACTGGCAGAGAGTTGTTGCCCTCTGAACTCCCAACTCTGCAAGGCGTCATGACGTACGGGCTACTGCTAAGAGAACAAAGTGATGAGGATGTCAGAAACTACCCAGCAGCCAGTCTTGCAAAAGACATTCGCCCTAAAGTGGGAACAAGCAAACAGTTCTTTTTGCCACCCCCAGTGTATATTCACGAGTCACAGTCTTAAAGAAGATTCAAGAAGATTGGTAGAGAAACGCTAGATGTCAAAGAGGCTTTCACTTCAAAACTCAACAAGCTTTTTGACATCCTCAATTGCAAGTGTAATTTTTTTCCTTTGCTCTGCATTTTGCTGCCCCGCTTGCAAAAAAATCAAGTACACCTTCCACTTCTAATAAAAAGAGTACAAAACATCAGAAATACACAATGTTGCTATGCAGAGCATTGGATATGGAGTTGGCCTGCGTGCTACAGCTGCCATCACCACTGCTGCCTTTATGGATGCTGGCTTGATCACTGGAGAAGACCAGAGACTTGCCGTTGATCACAATAAAGTCAAGAGGGCCCAATAAAAGGTTATGAAATCCCTGGATCAATAATTTGACGGTCTTTTTCAGAAGGGTGATATTGACTGCATCTTCTTTGACGGCTGTGAAGATACAACTAAAGTTATGCTGAAAGCAGTTCCACATCATCACAGGAAAGCATTATTCAGTGTGCAGTGAGCCTGATGGAAGATACCTCTACCCCCACTGTCCCACAGATCTCTAAGTCTCTTCCTCTGCCAGGTCCTTCCCAAGCAATCTGAGACTCCAGTGTTTTGACTCCCTTTGCCCAGCCTCTTCATACCTCTTCTGGTTCTGGAAGACATGGGGTGGGGGGGAGACAGCCTGGCTTCCTCACAAGCCTAACTCATCGCTGCCTCTGGTTCTGGACTGCTCTCTACCAGACACTTCCTGCTCACCTCTTCAGCTTCCAACACCTCCTCCTCCCAGTCTTCTCCCTCTTCACCTTCTGACCACTCATTGTCATCCCACCACCAATCCCCTGGCTCTGAGCCTTCTTTCCTTGGGGGTTCCTTTGGGGGTTCCCCAGTTGGTGCCTCCCACCACTTCTCTCAATCCAGCCTGTCCATAACAGTTGATCTGGTTGGTTTATGCCCTCCACATCAACAAGTTCCCCCTGCAACACTTGATCACAGCACTGGATGGAAAGATCCTGTCTAACAGCAAGTGGACAGTTGACATTGGCAAGATGCTAGACACTGCTACATTACATGAAATTACCATATTTTTCTGTGTATAAGACTAGGTTTTTTCCCTTAAAAATAATGTCAAAAATTTGGGGGGGGGGGGTTTATACACAGGGCCATCTCCCTCCATTTTCTTAAATCTGAGTCCCCAAAAATAGGGAGTGTCTTATACATCGGGGTGTCTTACAGACGGAAAAACACAGTAGTCCTTCAGTCACCAAACTCTCAATTGGAGAGCCTCTTACTTCACTGAGTGACAATATTGTAACTAATCTCTCTACTGATCAAGTGTATGGGTATTGGATCACACAGGCCATAATGATAGGAATACATGAAATGGATCTGGACCTTCTTGATATTAATCCAGAGAGCCATTCAAAATGGTTAACAACAGCAAACAGGCTTTGCCAACGATTCAGTGCTCAGCATAGTATACATTCAGCAAAATAATAATCCAGATACCCTTGAACTCAGATGACAGTGAGAAGAGGAGAACTGGTATCCAAAAGATTGTTGACTTGAGGGGCACTGAGAGAACCTTTTGTATGTCTGAGGAAGACTCCTTCCATGAACCCCAGTGCTTTGTCCCTGTTTGAGCTGATCAATTAGTCTGATGGGGTATATGAACCTCCTTTGACATGTCATCTTACTACGGTGGAAGTGAATAAGTTTATTGCTGAGCCCATGAAAGTTCTGCAACAGTCCTGTTATGCTCAGTCTATAGAGAGGTGTGTGCAGCAAGTCACAGAGGCAGCAGGGCTACATCAGAGGCCAAGAAGTGGCTGATGGCCAAGGACGAAGCCAAGCAAGACTTGATGAAACTTGCTGTTTAAATTTCTTATGAACTGATGTCATTGCTTTCTAATATTGCTGTATGAATACAAGGTAATGTTGTATGCTTAGTTGGATATGCTTTGTGCTGAGAAACTAACTTTTTTATAGCATTGCCCACATTTTCAGAAATTAAAATTAAAATTATTTGGTTTTCCAAGAACAGTTTTTTAATCAAACCTGGATTTACCAAGCTAAATGTTGTCCAGTCACAAAAATAATGGCATGTTTGAATTCCTCACACCCAAAATAATATATATATAAGACCCCCTTGCTGAAGAAATTTTCAAAAATTAAGTTTCAACCCCCCTCCTCCCCAAAAAATGACATGCCCTACGAGGTAGCAAATGACATATTTCCCACTAAGGCAGAGGTGGAGAACCTATTTCTGTCCAAGGACCACAATGGACAACCTTCTAGGAACCACATGCCAGTGGCGGGTGGAGCCAGTTGCAAAAGTGGGCAAAGCAACAAATATAAACTTTACTTTTGTCCAGTAGGCTAGTTTCTAAACACACACACACACACACACCCCTTTATCCTCCGTAACACAAGCAAGAGGCATTATCAGAATTCATAGACACTTTCCAGCCAGGCACAAAAGCACACAAGAAAGGTGCTAATAAGAGCTAGTGAAGGAGCTGTGGCTGTGAAGGGTTTCCTGAGGTCCAGACATTTGGTCGCCGGGCCTGAGGTTCCCTACCTCTGTGCTAAAGTGATCCACCGCCATTGTTTTAGAGTGCTTTGCCATCAAACACTTAAATGACACAAATATTTCTACAAACGCTTTCCCCAATGCCAAGATAGCATCAGATCATTCCCCTCCTGCACATCTCCCACAGAGGCCCAGCCCTTTCTTATTCCAGCTCCTTCGGGATACTGTAACCGACAAGGTAGAAAAGGATTCCAGAAATAAATACTAAGGGGACTCCCGCAGCTGCAAACATGAATGACCACCCGTAATAAACGTTCACAGGGATATCGTCGAGGCATCTTTCGCTTCTTTCTAGAAGTATGTACTTCGGGAGATCGGCAGCAAATTCCTTCCACATTGCAAACATGAATATGAGCAGGGCAAATAAAGCACCTGGGAGAGAAGAAGAAGAGAGAGGCTTGGTTGGGTTGGGTTGGGTTGGTTTGATTGTTTATTTGTATTTCTATGGCACTTCCTACTTGAATGAATCCCAAAGTAGCTTACAAACAGGGCCCCTGAAGACAGGTGTTTTGTGAGGGCAGGGTTGCGGTTGTATTCTGCAACATGTCATTGGTGCAGTAATCATGCATTAGTGGTGGACCTATGCTGGACCATCCACACACCATTCTGCACTATTAGTTTGTTCTACAATGCTTCCCTGATGTTACCACATTATTGGTGTCTGGAAGGGCAATATTGCTCTATAGCGCAACAAAATCAAGACAAAGAAACAAAGCAAACCCCTGGAACATCTGTGGTATGGAAAGTTACAGGATTTCAGCAGCAAGCTTTTAGGAGGGAGGATCTGTTGCAATGTTTTGTCACATGTTTTATGCATGCTATGCAAAGCTATTGATATAATTCTAGGACGTGTGACCAAATTGCATAAAAGATTACCTTGTTTCTATTCTCTTGAGCTGCAAAAGTCATGAATTCCTAGATTTGCATGAGGTGCCATTATCACTCTCTGCATGTTGCTGAACTTGTTTCTTAGCCATTGGTTTCAGATTTCCAAAATACACTTCACAGTGATTATGTTACATGCCCTCTTGCAATGTTTGGGGAAAGACTGTTTGGACTTCTCCAGATCAGGACACAGGGAGGGTAATATTTTTATACAATCCAAACAAGAGCAAAAGTTTATAAAAACTTTAAATGTATATATTGTTTTGTGCTGTCTCTTCCTCATAAGGTGGAAAGTTCAGGGTGGCCTAAAAGGGCAGGTTTGCCACATAGGAGACGGGTACCAAGGAACTGAAGGTACATAGGGATGGGAGATACATTCAGTTCAGTTTGCATTTTAATACAAAACTCTTTAACTCTTTAATTCACATTTCATGAAAAAAATATGCTAACCAAAATGCTTTTATCCTTCAAAATTTGCAGTTCTCTGCAGTGCAGTTCTCTAACCAAATAATGTGTGCCAAAAGGTGTCTATTAGGAGAAAACGCATTAACTGAGAGGGAAATAATATGCAAAAATGCATATCATCTAAGGGGGAATTGCTTGCAAAAATGTATATATTAAGGAAATTTGCATACAAAAATTCACATACCAGGGGATATTCGTATTAAAATGCTGGTATGTGAGAGGTCTGTATGTGTGCTGCATATGTGGTGAGTGTGTGCATGAACACATGCAAGGAAATGGCCCTTGTCCACTTTGGCCGTGCCCACAACTAGCATAATGTGGCCCTCAAAGGGTTTGCCAATTATTGATGGGGCTCTTAAGCCAAAATAAAAGATTAGATGCCCCTGCTCTAACTGCTTATTTCTATGGGGCAGGACTGGTGGGAGAAGTTTGCATTGGCAGAAGTAAGGTATAGTGGGAGTGAGCAGAATATGAAGGAAGGGAAGCAGCCCCCCTTCTCTCTCACACACACACTTTTTTGAAGGCACCTTCTGGTTTTGAGGCCAGATAACAGCTCCTGGAATCCTGTATTGGGACCGATCTAGTCTTTAGTTTTACTCATAGCACAATTGTATGCATTTGTTCAGCTTTGCTTCGTGGCATTGGCTGGCTGCATATATTGACAGAACTGATCCCTTCCTTTCTTTAAACGCTCTCTGCCTCCACCCATTAGGGCCTGCGATTAATTGAGAGTTTCCATTTCAATGTTGATTTAGGTCAATGGTATCTTCTGGGGAGGGACTAATTGCAAGGGCGTTGAACCGTGCTATGACACCTTTCGCCTTTAAATTCTTGCAACAATTGTCTAGGGGCTGACTGCAAGTCTTCCTAACTCCTCCTTCTCAGTCAAAGGATGGTAGCAACTTAATTTCAAGTAAATTGTTCACTAAACTCTGTGCCATCCTTTCTCGCTTCATAGCATCGTGAAACCTTGTTGGCTAATTGTAGAGACAAGTGGATGAACTCCAGACTCTCTTCAGAACTTCCGAAGCCTGTCTATAATTTGCTAATTACAGGGAAAGTGAACTTTCAAACCCCCCCCCCCTTTTTCTCACCTCCTTGCCTAGCAAAAACATCCAAAAAAACTAAGAAAAAATAATGAGATGCTGATATCTTTATTGGCAATTCATAAGTGCAAATGTATATGATATATGAGCAGCTTATAGCAGCCACAATATGGAACTATTAACTTTGAGAGAACAATTTGTAATATAAAGTGTTGGCTATCTCTCTCCCCCCATTTTCTCTCTATTATTTTCTTTCTTTAAAAGGTTTGGTGGAACTCCGTCAAGGACTGGGAAGAATCCCTGTGAGCCAGGCCATTTGTTACACTCATCAGATAAAACTAGATCAAGTCAAAGGCCTATCTGGTCCAGCATCTTGTTCTACGGCAGCCAATCAGATGACTATGGGAAGTCCACCAGCAGAATATGACTGCAATGGCAACTCTCCTCACGTTGCTGTTATTGATTTCCATTAATTAATGGTTCCCATTAACTGGTTTTTAGAGGCATGTGGCCTCTAACAGTGGCATTAGAACATAGGCGTCATCGTGACCTAATAGCCTTAACCACCATGAATTTATCCAATCTCCATTTTGCACCCACCCTAGGGAGTGTCTCCAGGATCTTGATTATTTTGGCTGCCCTTTTCTGCACCCTTGCTAGCTCCAGTATATCTTTTCTGAATGGAGAATGTTCAGAGTATTCCAAGTGTTTCTGCACCATAGATTTGCGTAAAGGAATTCTGATACTGGCAGTTTCATTTTTGATCCTTTCATATGATAGGAGGTCTTTCAGGTGCATGTAGAGCGTCCAGGTGGAAAAGAGGGCAGGACTCATGCTCCATCCATAATATTGTGTAGAAGCGGGGATTTAAGCAGGTGAGGGGGATCTTTTTCACTCTGAGGGCTGTGTTGCCTTCTGAACAATCTTCCAAGGGCCACATGCCAGTTCTGGGCAGGACTAGATATGAAGGTTGATGGAGCAATTGTTATAAGTTTTGTCTGTGTACAGTAGGCTAGTTTCGACACACACTCACACACCCCTCTCTAGTCTCCAAGAGAGAGGAAATACTGTAGTTAAAGTATGCATTCCACCCAGAGCAAAACATTCTCTGTGTGAAGCAGGGTCAATGAGGGGTGTGGCCCAGGAAGAGTTGTGGGGGCCAACTGGGGAGATTTGAAGGACCACATTTGAGTTTTCCCACCCCTGTGATATGACATACATATTCATGGACTAAATTCCAGCTCTAATCCAATAAATCTGTTAGTCTTTAAAGTATACTTGGTTGGTTTTTGCTGCTGCAAGGCTACCCCACTGGAAACTGTTATATGAATTTGCAAAGAAAGCCTCTCTCAAGTTAACTGTCACATGTCAAACATGGTTAAGAACACCTCATGGCAAAGCAGTTCTCACAGAAAATGTGTTTCATTATCTGATAAAGCAGTTGGCAACACAGCCAGTAGCTTGGTAGGGATAAAGGTCTCCAAGAGAAGATAGCAATAAATATCAAAAAGCTTCCAGGTCCATCTGCTGAATAATCTTCTCAGCCTACAAGTGTAGATGAGCTGGTTCATTTTGAAAGGGTGCCTCCGGAAAAAACCACCTAGAAAGATTTTGTTAAGGTAGCTGGCAGGTTACCAGGCAGATGCTCTAAAACACGGTCAATAATTGCCTGACATTCTTAGAAAGAAAGAATGCAATGAGATGATCAAATCTTTCCCCACTGAAGCCCTGTTTGTAATTGAAAAAGGTCTCTGCTGGCACAGCATGCAGTCCTACCAACTTCTGTCACTTTGAACCTGAGATCCTGCTAGGTTTCAAGACACATTCCCCTTCTTCTGGCTTTGAAATCCCTAAACCTTGCCCATGTTTTAGTCACTGGGGGACATTTAGGGATAGGGAAGAAATTTGATTCAGTTTGCATTTATTTGTGAACCTACCTAATGCAAAAGTAACATACAATAAAGTGCATTATATTAAGGGGAAGTGCTTTAGAAAAATGTGTATATTAGGCAAGATTGCTTTCATAGAGTACATTAAGTGAAAACTGCACTAAAATGCTGGTGGGTTGTTTTTTTAAGCACACAAAATGATGTGAAGATGTGGGGAACTGTATTTAAGATTGGGAAAAAATGAGAAACTGAGAGAAACTAACATTGGTGGATTTCCCCATCCCTAGAGGTGTAACACAGTGTCATTTCCTGATCACCATATGCAGACATACACTTCAGCTCTGATCCTAAACCTCTGCTGGCTTGCAGGATATCCTCAGGAGAAGAATAGGCTAAAGAGTAAACCCTACCCAAATCTGGAGTGAAGTCCCTGAAATGGTTGGATGGTGCCTTGTACACCTCCTTCCAGCAACTTCTGCAGCCCAGCTGGTGACAAATGTGTTACTCTGCTTTCCTTTGGTCCACATCCGGGAGGCTGAGAGGGGAATCTTGTGGTCTGGGAAGCCCAGGACCTTTATAAACACTGACCAGGCTTGCACCCCTGGGAGGTCACTTATGTGCTGCTAATGCAGCCATTAGACTTCGCCTCCAGAGGTGTACTTCATTGACTCTTAGGGCAGATGGATGCCTCCAACTTTCAGGTGCGTTTACAATTGCGGTGTTAAATACACAAAAATAGAGACCACTTGCAAGAAACTTCCAATAGCCTTCCAGAGTCTATTGTCACACACGGTCACTACATAATAAAGAAGCTGTTGGGTGGTGATTCAGCTACCACAGTGAACTACAATAAAATAGGCCAAAAGGTGAAAGGAGAAGGCGCAGGAGACATGAAAAGCCTCAATAGCACTTAACAAGTTCATTCTAACATTACATTGCAGGGATGGTGAGTGGAGCAACTAGGGGCAACAACACTTAGTTTACTTTTTTAAAAAAAACACACCTAAAAACACCTTTCATCAGTGGTCCCCAAGCATTTGTGGCCCGGGGACACACTTGAAAATTTTAGGAACTGTCACAGGCACATCATAATAGTGGCAGTGCTCAGAACTCCTATCTGTAATAAGCAACCTATACCTACCTCAAAACAAAACACAGACCAAAACCTCAGGCAACACCCCCCCCAAATCAGAATTAGGGGGTAGGGGGCCATGACAAGTCCCAAGGGGGTTGTCTGAGGGCTTACAGGTAGTATGTTGGTGACCTCAGTCCTGAAATACTGTCATGACAGGGTCTTCTATGTAAAAAAGAAAGATGGCTAGTGTGTATTTGAAAGTTCTTCTGATAGTGCTGGTGGATTTTGTTCCCACCACCACCATGAATTTTCCTGTCCTTATTCCCCCCAAAAAATGCAAATAGGGTGGCAAGTGGAGGATGATGTATTTTCAATCAATCAATCAATCAATCAGATTATTATTTAGGAGCAGAGAAAGTCTCTACTTTAGGGTGTAGGCAGAATCCTGATTTCCTATCTCAGAACTTAATCCCAAGGCAAATTCTCCCTCCCTATAAATTACAATCACTTTCACTTTTCTCGAAGGAAAGATCTCCGGGACACGTAAGTTAATTAAGGATGATCTGCCATCCATATCAGATGACAATGACAGTTTCCCCCTTCTGTTGTCATTCCAAATCCTAAGGCTGTGAAAGAAATACTGTTGATGTTATTGAATGTTATAAGATGGCAATGGATTCTTATTTTATTCTTAGAGTGGATGGTGTATAAAATGATTTTGCAGTTCATTGATTGTGTATCTTGCTGTCAGAGCTTTTGCTGCTGCTTATTTTATTAGTTATTATTATTTATTAAATTTGTATACCGCCCTATACCCGCAGGTCTCAGGGTGGTTACAGCATAAAGTCACAATGCACAAACACATAAATAAAAGTAAAATCAAAAACAACCCAATAACCCCCCACTCAGTCTATTTTATAGTTTATTTTATAACTTTTGTTGTAATTCGTTTTTGTTTTCCTGGTTTTATGATGTTTTATGTCTTTAAATTTGTAAGTCACCTTGAGACTCCTTATTTGTCAAGCAATTCATACATTGAATTATTATTGGGTGTGGATCCTGCTACAAATCCACTCAGAGTTGAGCCACTGAAATTAACGTCCCCTAGATTAGCCACATTCATTAATTTGAATCGATCCGCTCTGAGTATGACTAACAGAGGATAAATAATAATAATAATAATAATAATAATAATAATAATTTATTATTTATACCCTGCCCATCTGGCTGGGCCTCCCCAGCCACTCTGGGCGGCTTCCATAGAAACCAAAAATACACTAAAATATCACACGTTAAAAACTTCCCTGAACAGGGCTGCCTTAAGATGTCTTCTGAATGTCAGGTAGTTGTTTATCGCTTTGACATCTCGTGGGAGGGCCTGGTTCCCTGTAGCTTTGCTTCTCGCAATGAGGGAACCGCCAGAAGGCTCTCGGCGCTGGACCTCAGCGTCCGGGCAGAACGATGGGGGTGGAGACGCTCCTTCAGGTATACAGGACCGAGGCCGTTTAGGGCTTTAAAGGTCAGCACCAACACTTTGAATTGTGCTCGGAAATGTACTGGGAGCCAATGTAGGTCTTTCAAGACCGGTGTTATATGGTCTCGGCGGCCGCCCCCAGTCACCAGTCTAGCTGCCGCATTCTGGATTAGTTGTAGTTTCCGAGTCACCTTCAAAGGTAGCCCTACGTAGAGCGCATTGCAGTAGTCCAAGCGGGAGATAACCAGAGCATGCACCACTCTGGCGAGACAGTCCGCAGGCAGATAGGGTCTCAGCCTACGTACCAGATGGAGCTGGTAAACAGCTGCCCTGGACACAGATTTGACCTGTGCCTCCATGGACAGCTGTGAGTCCAAAATGACTCCCAGGCTGCGCACCTGGTCCTTCAGGGGCACAGTTACCCCATTCAGGACCAGGGAATCCTCCATACCTGCCCGCCTCCTGTCCCCCAAAAACAGTACTTCTGTCTTGTCAGGATTCAACCTCAATCTGTTAGCCGCCATCCATCCTCCAACCGCCTCCAGACACTCACACAGGACCTTCACCGCCTTCACTGGTTCTGATTTAAAAGAGAGGTAGAGCTGGGTATCATCTGCATACTGATGAACACCCAGCCCAAACCTCCTGATGATCTCTCCCAGTGGCTGCATGTAAATGTTGAAAAGCATGGGGGAGAGGACAGAACCCTGAGGCACCCCACAAGTGAGGGCCCAGGGGTCTGAACACTCATCCCCCACCACCAATTTCTGAACACGGCCCAGGAGGAAGGAGTGGAACCACTGTATGACAGTGTATAACAACAGAAGTAGCAGCCAGTGTAAATAAACATTACATAACTCTATTCAGAGATTCAGATGATGGTCCAGATTATCTCGTACGAAGACCTTTGACTAAATATTACTGGAACAATCATAAGAACCAGTTTAGATTAAAGTATTTACTAGATGTATTAATTGTACTTTGTACAATTGTATTTTGTTTAGTCCTACATTTGTTTTATTGGACTGGAAGTTTTGTTTAGCGGCCCTGGGAATTTTATTGAAGGAGCAGGGTATAAATCACATATGCATTTTGTGGAGAATCAAATATAGGTGTATAAAATTCAAGAGTCTCCAGATGAAATGGATTAGCCAGAGGTTTGGAACAGACAAAATAAAGTACTTTTCACACAGTGTATAATTAACTTATTGCAACATTCTAACACTAAATATAGTGGCGTCTACTACCTTAGATGCCTTAAAAAGGAATGAGGAATCAGCACTGTGGAACCTGAGGCCCTCCCAATGTTGTTGAACTACAATTCCCATCATTCCTGACCATTAACAATGCAGGCTGGGAGAGGGGCTCTAGTTGCATCTGTCATTGGACTCCAACCCCTATCAAGCCCAGCCTGCATAGTCAATGGTCAAAAATGATGGAAAATGTAGTCCAATGATGTATGAAGGCCACATCTATTAACAGCAATGAACAGTGATAGATGAATGTCATCTCAATTATTCAGAAGTAGGAGTAACCAAATCTGTAAGTTTCAGTTTCTCTCAATTCTGCCTTGTCTTTCTATCTGTGTGTTTGTCTCTCACACAGCTCATTTCCTTTGTTTCCTTTAATGGCCCATTACCCAGGCAATCACCTCATCAGGAATCTAGCATGGCTTATATTTTAACACTTGTTGGATCCAGGGGTTAGAAGGGCCTCAGCATACAGCCTATTCTCCACCCACCTCAAAACTCATAGCAACGTCATAATGACCTTCATTCTCTGAGTGCTGATGGCCCTTATACAGCGAAGGTAGCACCACACACCCACAAACAAGAGGGAGGAATTAGCGGACTCAGTGAGTTTTGTGGGCTTGCTGGGATTCAAATCTGGGTCTCAGGATCCAAATCCTGGATAGCTCAGTTGGTTAGAACATGCTGATAATGCTGAGGATGCCGGTTCGATCCCCCTTTGGGACAGCTACATTGCAGGGGATTAGACTAGATGATCCTCAGGGTCCCTTCCAACTCTACAGGTCTATGATTCTATGAAATCCAACACTCCAACTACTATGCCAGAAAGAAGGAAAGAGAAACTAACCAGTGGTCAATACATGCACACTTTATGAAATACTGTGTAATTTATTATGAGAAGACCCATGTGATTTTTTTGCACACATTCAAATTCATTCTCAATCTCTCTCTTTCTCTCTTATGCGCATGCGCGCGCACACACACACACAGGCTACACAAAGTGGGAATTAGCCTCAGCATCCCAGGCACCCATATATCCAATTATCATGAATTGGCAGCTTACCAGCCGTGATGAAGAATCCGCCTCCTACTTTATAGAACCGTGCACTGACAAAAGGCACACCACACACCAAGAGAAATCCTCCTACGAGGCTGGCGGTGACAGCCAGCACAATGAACGCTGTCCAGAAGCCCCTGTACACTGCGCAATCGGAAAGAAGAAAGTATAGGGGAACGCTGAGTAAACTCACATAATCGGATCTCCTTTCAGGAGAGGCTTGTAGCAAACCAATTTGTTCCAAGTTTCTCCAGCAAACAATTTGGGGAAAGTCGCGGGGGGGGCGGGGAGAGAGAGAATGAAACAAATCCCAGGATTATCACCAGTAATTCAGAATCAGGTTCTTGTATGGAGCTGCTGCAATGGACTCAGCTGATCTCTGCACCCTAACTCGCAAGCATAACCAGGGTGCATCATGTGGTAGGTATCATGTTATACACAGAACACCAGTGCTGAATAGCCATGTCCTTTCTATGTTTACAAACATGATAAATGGATGATCATATTTCATGGGGGAGGGGTTGGAGGAGGTGATTACAATTGCAACCATGGTATGCAGAGAAAGGGCCACAGCCAGAGTCCATAGCACCCTACAGGTGATGTTGGACTACAATTCCCATCATCCTTAATAACTTGCTATGTTGGCTGGGGATAATGGGAACTGTAGTCCAACAACATCTGGAAGGCACTGCGTTGGCTACCTCTGCTGTAGCTCAGTAGTAAAAGCATCTACTTTGATTGCAGAAAGTCCCTGGATCAGTCCCCACCATCTCCAGGTAAGGCTGGAAATGTCCCAACACTGGACAGATGCTACCAGTCAGTGTAGGCAATATTGAGATATGAGCCAATAATCTGGTGTTCCATTGTTCATAAGGATTACAGCGCAAAGGCAAAGGGTTAAGCCCTCTTCCCAGCAGAACAATGGATCAGCAATTCAGGGTTTCACACAGGAATCTTTCTCAGCCATTCCTTTGAGATAAGGGGGCTTTGAACCTTTTGCATGCAAAACATGTGCTTTACCCCTGTGCTACTATAGCCCTTCCCTGTTTACTTAGAAGTCAAATTGGGTGTATACATGCAATGGAAGAAGAGGAGGAGGAGGAGGAGGAGGAGGAGGAGGAGGAGGAGGAATTTGAACTTGATATCCCGCCTTTCACTCCCCTTAAGGAGTCTCAAAGCGGCTAACATTCTCCTTTCCCTTCCTCCCCCACAGCAAACACTCTGTGAGGTGAGTGGGGTTGAGAGACTTCAAAGAAGTGTGACTAGCCCAAGGTCACCCAGCAGCTGCATGTGAAGGAGCGGAGACGTGAACCCGGTTCACCTGATTACGAGTCCACCGTTCTTAACCACTGCACCCGAGGTGGTAGGATAACAGTAGACATAGTCTATGGGGTCAAATTTTTAATGGCTGGCCCAGCGAGTGAGTTTGCCAAGAAAAATTGCTGTCCACCCACTCTATGGTGATAGAGGCAGAGACAATAAATAAAAAGATGCCTCCCCATTCCCTCTGATAGATGCATGTAATCTGGTCGGACTAGCAGGTAAACCTTACTTCAACACAATGAGACAACATACTTTACAGTACCTGAGGGCTGTAGATCAGCTCAGGGGGAATGATAGGAGGGATGCTGCCATCCCAGATATCTGCTGCCTGCATCATCCATCTCATTTGGCCTGGGCACAGGGGTTTTCCCACCATTACCCCCCAGCCCTAAAACACAGTTGTAGAGGTGTTGCTGCTTGCTACATTTTTACTGCTCAACATACACCTACAACAACAGCTGGCCTAATACATGTGTTATTTGGTTACCTCTTAACATGTGCATACCTGCAGTTGCATCGTATGAGGGGTGAGGATGAGGTCCAAGTGCAATAGGCATAGGAAACAGGTAGCCATGCATGCAATGTTTTGGATGTGCTTGACTCGCTGGAAGAAAAAAATAGAAAACAGGACAGTTGTCTGCTGCCTCTGTGGTTTAACAGTCACGGTAATCAGGTCTACAAGGGTTCTAATCATGCATCTGTAATGCAAGAACATCTAAAATATGCAAGCTGGCTGTTATCAGAGCAACTGTTTAAGAATTGGTGCCCAAGTTTACTTATTTCCTACCAACTCTGCCCTTTCCCCTTGTGAGTCTTTTTGTTTGTTTTTTAGATTGTAAGCCTGCAGGCAGGAGCTGTCTTGCTTTTAATTAGGGCTGCCGTACATCCGGGATTTCCCAGACATTACCAGGATTTCAAAGGTGGAAGTGACGTCCAGGGGGGATTTCCAGAAGGCGGCAGTTTGTCCTAGATCTTCGACAAGTAAACCAAAAATTGCATTTTTGGGGGCCAGAAACTGTAGAACTTATTCTTTTCTACTGTCCATTGTACAACCAGCTAGGCAAACACGTAGTCTAACATCACGGCACAATGGAAATATCAGATTCTATCTGTCTGACATTAACACAAAAGTTACTCCAAGGGTGGTTGAGTTTTTGTCAATAGTATCTCTTAGAGTGGTGAAGGGCACTATTTAGTGGGAAGAAATCCCAATGAAAATCCTCGTTACTAGATATATTTTTACATGACTGTTTCTTTAGTAAATCATTATTCTCTCTGTTTACAATGTCAAGGCTGTTTGTGTCATTGCCGCCAACATGGCACCATCCACACGCAAGTAGAGGGTAGCAACAAGCTTGGGAAAATCTCTGTTTTTACAAAAGTACAAAAAATCTTTAGGGGAGGCACAGCGTGGGAGATTCCCAAGCAACCTAATGAGGACTGAGCATGTTCAGTGCCCCTAGAATACTGACTGATGGGAGGAGATAGAAAATCAGGTGGAAGTGGGAATGGAATGGAGGGTCCTCAACCCCAAGCAGATGCATTCCACACTACACCTTTGGGTCACATCCGCACCAAGCATTTAAATCACATTCAATGCACATTTAAAGCATATAGCTTCCCTCATAGAATCTTAGGAAATATAGTTTTCCCCCTCACAGAGCTACAACTACCAGCACCCTTAACAAACTACAGTGCTCAGGATTCTTTGGGAGAAGCTGCGGGTTAAACCACAGAGCCTAGGACTTGCCGATCAGAAGGTTGGCGGTTCGAATCCCTGTGACGGGGTGAGCTCCCCTTGCTCGGTCCCTGCTCCTGCCAACCAAGCAGTTCAAAAGCACCTCAAAGTGCAAGTAGATAAATAGATACCACTCCGGCGGGAAGGTAAACGGCATTTCCGTGCGCTGCTCTGGTTCGCCAGAAGCGGCTTAGTCATGCTGGCCACATTACCCGGAAGCTGTACTCTGGCTCGCTCAGCCAATAAAGCGAGATGAACGCCGCAACCCCAGAGTCGGCCACGACTGGACTTAATGGTCAGGGGTCCTTTATATACTTTAAATGCGTGTTAAATGTGCTTTCAATGTATTGCGTTGGTGTGACCTTTGTTGCATTTCCTACTTTGTTCTAAGCTTGATGTGGTAGAAGCTATCATAATCTATGATCTCCCCACCACCACTTTCAGGTAGCAGTTCACCTATTGATTGAATTCATCCTGCATTGCCTGGGAATTGACCTAGGAATAGTTACCATTTTTGAGTGCTGCAGTGCCTAAGGATGGCATACTTCCGAGGAAGTAGAGGGGCCATTACTGCAGAGGTGTCCCATCAATATTAATGTCACCAAGGCTTATCATGATGAACGGTAATAGGATGAATGTTCAACAAATTAATTAATGATTATCCACTTTACTTAAAAATGCTTCCCACAAAATGGGGGGCACTTTATAATAAATGGACATTCGTTCGTGCTAAGTGACTAATGAAATTTCAACTGCATTAATTATTGCATCTGCAAAAAGCGGCAAAATGAATTTGCTGCGTTCGGTCTCATTAATGCAGACACAAAAAGTAATAAAAGATCTCCTGGTTATCAAGAATATCTTGCGCTATGGGAATGGGCTTCAAGTGATGTTTAATTTGATCATTTGACTTAAGGTAATATCATGTTATACAACGTATTATAATAATTAGGCTTGGATGGCCTCCATTATTACATTAACGTGGCAATCCAGAATTATCTATACTTTATCGATGAACGCTAGAAGTACAATATAAGGAAGGCTATTAGAAGACTCAGTTGGCAGTTCTGTGCACACATACTTGGCATTGTGGGGCCAAGTGAGGTCTGCTTCCAAGTAAATATGCTTGGGATCAGAAGTCAGAATAAAATGCTGGTGAGTTTCTAGAATCAGGAATGTGGAAGCGCATACACAAAATTCCTGGATAACTATCATGCTTATTTATTAAACATATTTATCTACTCCCAAACCATAAACTATCAGGTCAGGGATTCATAATAAAATAAAACACACACAGTTAAAAGCAATTCAAATAAAAGCAATTGACTAATTAAAACACCTGCAATGGCCTGCTGTAATTAAAAGGACTTCAAGAGGCACCTGAAAGACAGATGTGAGGGTGACTGCCTAATAATCCCTGCTGGAAGACTGGTCCACAGCATGTGACCATTGACACTCAATGTCCAACTTGCAGCTGAGGCCAGTCAGGCTTCTGTTAACATGGGGGACAACAGCTTTCTTGGTGATTAAACCTGGATATAAGGGCTCAAGGGCTCAAAGTATGCTTTGTCCAAGTTATTCAGGGCTTTGTATATCAACACAAGAGCCTTGAACCTGGCTGGTTGCATATGGACAACCAGTGCAGGTGTCTTAGCAGATGCTATCAGTCACCTGCCCCCATCAGCAGACCAATTATTGCATTCTACACCAGCTGGAGCTTCCAGACCAGGCACAAGGGCAGCCCCACATAGAGTGCAGTTCAATAATGCAGTCTCAAGGTTACTATGCTTAAACCAAAGCTGCAGGCTGGATGGCAAACCAATCCAACAAATACGACTGCTGCTTTCAGTCTGCAAATGACACATAATTGATTACAGATCTCCCACCATTTGTACTAAGCTTCCTTTGCAGTGAAATGAATGGAGTAGAATAATGTAATCACAATGTACGTTACATAATTTTGCCACAGTGGACTGTGAGTTGAATAATGTCATTTTTGGTGGAAGGTGAACTGCAGTGGAATAGAAACAGTGACACATGTGATTAATAGAGGGCAGGATGAAAATCAATGCCTTCTTCTGGGTGGCTACAACCTCAACAGAAGCACGCTTGTTAGGTAGCTACTAAATACTGCAACACTGTGTTGCCGATTCCACTTGTACTCACTAAACCAGAAGTTCCATATGGTCTCCTTGTAATCTTCACCAAAGAACCAGCACCGCCAAAAGAAACCTTCATGATGAAACGTAAGAATTCCTTTTGTCCAATTTCCCGTCCCAACCTATTTTTAAAAAATGAAATGAAAATCCAGGAGTTCTATGGAAATTATTGCATTCCATTTAGCACAGAAGCATTTATTCATTTACAGTTACATTTGTACCCCACTTTTCTTGTAAGATACTGTATGGGGTACTGCCCACTTCATTTTATCATCACAACAACTCTTGTTAGATAGGTTATATTTTTAAACACGGTATTAATAGTCAGATAGTGTTAAAATTGAGCTTGAATCCCTAATATACCAATCACTGCTTATATATACAAATACAGAGCATACTAGCTAGCCAATGTGTTGTTGTTTATTAACTTAAATGCAAGTTTTGGACATCATTCTCCAAAACCCAAACGACTACTTTATGTACACCCAAGGACTGGAAACATTCACAGTGTGTTTTGCAGGTGTGTGGGTGCTGTTTTCTCATTTTTTTAAGCAGCAGTCCATTTCCCTAAGACTTGTCACAAAGTCAAACTGTTTCTGAAGGTCCTTCAGTTTCAAAAGTGGATTGTCATGCAGAAGGAGAGGTGGGGGAAACCATAGGAAAACATAAGCCTTAAAAGTCTGGTTGGTGGGCACAGAACAAGCAGCCTGGTTCTTTGGATCCCAGCCAATGTTTTAAAAGAATCTGGGTGTGGGGTTAATAATATCTCATTCCAGCAGTTGGAATAAATACACTGGGTAAAAGCATGTTTTGAACTGGACCTCTCCCCTGCTTCCTCCTCCACTTGGAAGAGTGAGTAACATGCCAAAGAAACTGGAGACACAATGGATGGAGTTGAGAGAATCCCCAAGGACATTTCCTACATTCACACAGTCAAGGTTTGCTATTTGGCATTTTACAGAATTTTACAAGCCTGGCTGGTTTTTGCCCTCTAATATTATGCATATTTACTTTGAAAGTAAGGCCCAGTATGTACAATCAGATTACTCCCAGGTAAGGGTGAATAGGACCTTAGGCTTAGCCAGTTACCAGAACTGGAGTATAATATTTGCTACAATATGTCCTTGTTTTTTAGCAGGGGTGACACCAGGTTAAATAAACATTAGCCGAGTCATTATATGAGTTTTACTGCACTAATTCATCCATTAGATCTGCATGTAAGGGGGGGGGCACACACATAATTCTAAGGAAAACATTGTATTTTCTTTGCAGATGACAGTCACTGGTGATAGTCTGGTTGTTTAAGAATTAATTTAATCTGACTATGTCAGGTGAAGAGAGAGCATGCACGAGAGATTCTTATTTGAGATCAAAACTCTCAATCTCTTTCATTTTCCTCTCCTTTCCAAGAGCATTCTCTTTTCCCCTGATAACGGTTCATTAAAGCTACAGAAGGTTCTTCACAAACTATTTCTCCAGGTTTACCTCCTCAGTGTGATAGGTGCCGTTCTCAGGTATGAATCCTCCACACGTCTCCGTCGCCAGGAGCCAATAATCTGTCCCAAAGGCTACAAGAAAGAGAAGGACCCCAAGGACTGCGATGATCCCTGCTAAAAAGGCAGCTATTTTGATCTTCATGATAGAAAGACAAAGCAGGAGGGGGTGGGCAGCTCAAAACTCAGCAAAGGAAGAAGAGAATGTTCTTGTTTTGGGGAGAGGGAGAGGAAGGGAGGCAGAGAGAGAGAGAGAGAAAGAGAGAGAGAGGAGCAGGGAGTAGAGAATGAAGAGTAGGGGTTCTATTTTAAGACACAGATCAGCATCATTTCATGACTGGTGTTCATTTCACAGGGCACTAAGGAGAGAGCTATGAAAAGCTGATGACTTGGGCCTACCAAGCAGCTAAGGCATTAAAGCACACCCATGTATGTATACTCTGAACTTTCAATCTGCATCAAGGTAACTGACATTCTGTCCGAAAAAGAGCTGCACGCTGTCACCTGCACATATTGCAACCAAATTCTCTCATGAAAATAGAGAAGTGGAACCTGCAACAAAATGTTGGGAGTCCAAGATGTTGCTGTGTGGAATTCTCCTATTCAGGATTCCAGGCAGGCAGATGCTCCAGCACTGAGCTATGGCTCTTCCACAAACCAAATTACTCAGAAACAAAATTAAGTCTGGGGCTCCTGTGGGCAAAAAAACGCATCGGCTCAAAATCTCCTGCTCCAAGGAAAAGCAAATCTCATTTCACAGTCTCCCTACACCTGACATCTCAACCCAATCTACCTCAAACAAATCACATGGTGCCCAAGATTCATAAATCTATTTGATCCCCTAAAGCAAAAGATCCCATAAAGGCCTCTTCCCACTCCCCACTGGCAGTGGCATTAAATAACTAACAGTTTGCTAATAGTAGAGTTGACCCTGACTGAAGAAGAAAGGTGTTTTGGTCGCCTGCCCCCCCCCTTGGTTTTATGGTGCTGGTGTGGGATCCTTGTAGCACAGCTTCTCTTTCTACACATGAGAGGCCTTTGCACAAGTAAAAGGTGAAGAAGACTTTAGTGCCATTGCATTAAGTGTTCCCAAGTGAACACCTATTTATTTTCTGCTTTTAAAAGTCAACCAACTAGAAGGGCCACTTTACACAGAATCATACAGTCGTACCTCAGAAGTTGAACCGAATCCATTCTGGAAGTCCATTCGACTTCCGAAACATTCGACTTCCAAAGCTTGGCTTCTGATTGGCCGCAGGAAGCTCCTTTGGGCCAATCAGAAGCCATGGAAGCCCTGTCGGATGTTTGGCTTCCAAAAGAACGTTCGAAAACCGGAAAACTTCCTTCCAGTTTTCGATCGTTCGAAAGCCAGAACATTTGACTTCCAAGGCGTTTGGGAGCTGAGGTATGACTGTATGTCAGGGAAATTGTGCTCCACAGGGAGGTGGAGCCAACCCCAGCCCACTAAAGCATGTGCCTTACAAGTATTTGCAAGCATGTATATGCTGCATTCAATCTTCAGATTTTTAGGTGTACCCTTTAAAAAAAAAAGCCAAAAGGTACACAGCTAAAAGATGTCATTGCTATTCCAGTGAAAGAAGAAGAAGAGAGAGGATTTCGGAGCTGTGTGAGCGAAATGTGTGTGGATCAAATGGCAACAATTTATTTCCACACAGGCATGCAGTACTCAATGACACAGTGAATTTAAACACTTTTCATAAGCCTGAAACTCCACAGCGAATTAATTTGCCATGCATTGAGATCCCAACTTTTAAAGCATTTTCCACTTAACTGTGGGATTTCGAAATGCTGGATATCAAAAGAGATCATTCTGAGATGGAATCGGTGTTGCTTTCGGTGTGAGGGACCCAGAGTTGCAGGGCAAAACTCAGGGCCAGCACAAGACATTTTGCTTTGGGGTGGGTGGGTCACGTGCCAGTGGTGGGTGGGGTCGCAGGTAAAGAGGAGTGGCCAGTAGCAAAAGTGGGTGGGTCAGTGACTATGACTCTTACCTCTGTGCAATAGCCTACTTTCCAGCCATGCAGAAGTCAGAGGTTTTACAGCACACAAATACGTCTTCCAGTCAACTACTAGAAGGCATTATCATCATTCAAGGACACATAATTGCCTTCAAATATCTGAAGGACTGCCATGTTGAACAGTGCCCCCTCACACTCTTCTCCCCTGCTTCATCCTCTGCTGCCTTTTGATAAAGGGTGGTCTATAAATTGCAGTAATAAGAATAAGAATAATAGAAGGAAATCATGTCTCCCCTTAATCTTCTCTTCCCTAGACTAAACATACCCCAGTTCTTCAAGCATTCATCATAGGAATCAGTTTCCAGCTCCCTTGCTGAGTCACCCTCTTATGGACATATGTAATATAACATTTTATATGACACCCATAACTGGGCATGTTATTCCTATGGTTGCCATATTTCAAAAAGTGAAAAACTAGACACTTTTTGAAATAGCTTTTGAGCTATTTCTAAGGAAATTCACCAAAATCTACACTTCCCAGACATTTAAGCAATTTCCACCAGGATGCTGTCTCTGACAACCGAATCCCAGCTATGTCCAGGAAATTCTGAACACATGGCAACCCTAGTTATTCCAGATGTGCCCTGACCAGTATAGAAGAAGATGGACCCATGTGATCTGGACACTGGGCTTCTGTTAATGCAGTCTAAGGTTGCATTTGCGTTTTTGTTTTTTTTAGCAGCTGCATCACACTGCTGGCCCATGTGCACATTGTGATCTACTAAGTCACCTAGATCGTTTTCTTATATGCTACTGCCAAACCAGACCTCCTCTGTCCTTTGTTTCAATTGTTTTGGGTACCTAAATGCAGAACTTTATATCTCTGCTGAATTTCATCTTGTTGGTTTCAGTCCACTGTTCTGTTCTGCCCTGCTTTTGTTCCATCTGTAGATTTGATGAGCCATCTGCAGCAGCATCTAAATTATTTATAGAAATGTTCAACTGCACAGGGCCATTCCACTTGAGACCTCTCTCCAGGTATCTACAGAGCCTTTCATGAGCATCTGTTGGGTATGGTTGCTCTACCAAGTTGTGAATCTATCCATAGTATCATCCAGCCCACAGGTCATCATCTACAGCTGAGATAGGGAACCTGTGGCCCTCCCTAGGTGGACTACAGCTCCTCTCATCTCTGGCCATTTCCTGTGCTCACTGGGGTTGATGGGAGCTGGAATCTGATGAACTCTGGAGGAGCACAGGTTCCCCATTCCTGATTTACAGCTTCAGTGGACTCAGCAATATAATGGGATGGTGTATAGATACAACCACACACACACAAAGTATCTTAATCAGAAGGAATAATAGTCATGAAAGTAATTGTAGTGACAGTAAAAATATTATGACAACACTATTGTACTCCACATAGATGCAAACCTTCTCTCTTACACACACACTGCATTTTTATTTCTGATAGATAGCGAGATAGACAGACAAAATACAGAAAGGTTTAATATATATTTTTCATTTAAAGCGAGTTTACATTAAATGGTTGCTGCCGTCAAGATAGTGCACTGCTAAAGTGCTCTTTTCCAAAGAATCTGGCCTATAAGAGCCAGTCTATATGCTCAGGAAAAGGAGCAGAGACGGTTCTGCCATTTTCTGGCCATTCTAGAAAGCAAGAGGTGTGATCACATGTTTTATTGCTCCATCTCATAGAAAGCTCCCTGGGCATAGGCAACTAAAACACTAGATTCCAGGTGCAATCCTTATGCATACACCTGTGACAATGAGGCCCACTGAACTCAACAGAAGGTACTTCCAAGTAGACGTGCATAGGGTTGCAACACAGAGCTCTTTTGTGGCAGGAAACCCACCCACCTACCCCCTGCTTCTGAAAGTGTGTTGTTCTGAAAGGGTTGTGCCACACGGTTTCTTTTTCCTGAATGTACTGTCTCAAGCAATCACTGTAAAATTCACTCATGTTGTATGACTGGTAAAGGTTGGTAAACAAAAAAATAAATAGCCCATTGAAATTAGCCAGGAGTCTTTGCTGTAGTTTTTGGGGAGGTGCCTGCTAAAATATTTTATCTTTCTGCAGGGCTACTCAGACATGTAAAATCGGTGTCTATCTTAATCTGTAATCTTAAAGGTAAAGGTAAAGGGGACCCCTGACCATTAGGTCCAGTCGTGGCCGACTCTGGGGTTGCGGCGCTCATCTCGCTTTATTGGCCAAGGGAGCCGGCGTACAGCTTCCGGGTCATGTGGCCAGCATGATTAAGCTGCTTCTGGTGAACCAGAACAGCGCACGGAAACACTGTTTACCTTCCCGCCGAAGCGGTACCTATTTCTCTACTTGCACTTTGACATGCTTTCGAACTGCTAGGTTGGCAGGAGCAGGGACTGAACAACGGGAGCTCACCCCGTCTTGGGGATTCGAACCGCCCACCTTCTGATCGGCAAGTCCTAGGCTCTGTGGTTTAACCCACAGCGCCACCCGCATCCCTAATCTGTAATCTTAAATGTTGTTAAATAAAATAAAATGATCATATGGATTCTTTTTAAGATTTTTGAGAATTCCTCATGAAACTGTATAAGTTTGAACATGCTTCTTTTATTTTATGGAGCTCCCTTCCATTTGAGACAGGCCCCATCTCTGTTGAGCTTCCAGGACCTGCTGAAAACTTTTTTTATTCCAGCAGGCATCTTAACTGATTTTATAGCTTTAGCTGATCCACACCTCCCACCAATGTATTGCACTCTTTGTACATTGCATAGAGATGACTGTAATTAATCAGTATACGCATTGCCTAAATAAAATTAATTAAATAAATACAGTGTTTAACATAATCACAAACCAGTTCCAATGTACTGAAAGAGGAAATGTGATAACATGGGAGTGCATTTCAAGCACTTTCTATTGTTTTCTACAAAGTCAGGAAAAGAATACAGGTACAAAAGGAGTGCAGGGGGGAAGCCAAGACATGGTGTTACTTCTCTTCTGAAATTGGCCTTTTCCCAGTTTCTTCGTCATTAACCCAGCGGGTAGTACTTGGCTGCAGAGGTATAATAAAACCAACTGACTTTGATCTGTTAGATTTCACACTCGGGGCTTTTCTAGAATGCCTGGCTGTAGGAAAGAAGGAAAGATATGTGCCTGATTAGAAACATTACTACTACTACTACTACTACTGCTGCTACTACTACTACTACTAAGGTAAAAGGTAAAGGGACCACTGACCATTAGGTCCAGTCGTGGCCGACTCTGGGGTTGCGGCGCTCATCTCGCTTTACTGGCCGAGGGAGCCGGCATACAGCTTCCGGGCCATGTGGCCAGCATGACTAAGCCGCTTCTGGTGAACCAGAGCTGCACACGAAAACACCCTTTACCTTCCCGCCGGAGCGGTACCTATTTATCTACTTGCACTTTGAGGTGCTTTTGAACTGCTAGGTTGGCAGGAGCAGGGACCGAGCAACGGGAGCTCACCCCGTCGTGGGGATTCAAACTGCCGACCTTCTGATCGGCAAGTCCTAGGCTCTGTGGTTTAACCCACAGCGCCACCCGCGTCCCGCACTACTACTACTACTTAATGCCAAAGTAGGCTTCTAAGTAGTAGTACAAAACCATTACATATACATGTATAAAAACCTGTTGCAATTATACTTTTATTAGTCAAAGGAGGTGAAACAACATCAAAACACCATTGCATTGCCAAACTCACACACCAGCATCTGAACATAAGAACCTGAGAAGGGCCTGCTGGATCAGGAAGGTGGATCTAGCTCACACAGCCTCCAACAAGATGCCTCTGGGAAACCCATAAGTAAGACCCAAGCAACAACAGCACTCTTCCCACCTGAAGTTTCCAGCAACTGCCCTTTTTCATTTTCAGCAAGAACGATTTTCCTGTCACTTACCAAAAAGCATCTGGTGGCTAGGAGAAGGGTCAGGGTCAGCATCAAGGCCTATCAATGAATCTGAAATCTTCTCACACAGAAAACATGTGGAACTCAAACTGGACCAGTGTTGGGATAATTAGGCTCAGAGTTTTCCAACTTACCAGTAAGGGACCTGCACAACTTGGGTTTGGGGTTAGTCCCATCAGCCCCTTCTGATGAATAAGAATCATCTTTCTGCAATGAAGAAAGAACATAATTCACAGTCTGATCCTTTAACCATTTAGAAATAATAGACCCAAAATTACTGGAACTGAACATTGGAAAAAACATTCAAAGAGAATAGGCTGAATATAGGGATGGATAAGCTCATCCTGTGTTAGGGGACTCCATTTCCCACCAGTCCCAACCGGTGTGACCAATAATAAGGGATGGTGGGAGTGTAGTTTGGCAACATCTGAAGGGCCACAGGTTCCACATCCCCAGTGTAATATGCTTAAATGGGTCTGTTGTGCATCTACCTATACAGTTTCACACCTTCCTGTTAAGCATGCCCCACAGAAGACTCCAAGGGAACATGCCAGCAATATGAAAGAGCACATTTTTGCATACCCTTCAACATTTCTCCAATGAAAATAGGGACATCATCATCATCATCATCTACCACCCATGAAACATTAAAAAAAATCCTATACAGGGCTGCCTTCAGTTGTCTTCTAAAGGTTGCATAGTTACTTATCTCCTTGGCTTGGGGGTCTCACAACTCCATACCCTCCACATTTCTCTGATGAAAATAGGGATGTCTGAAGGAAAAGCAGGACATTCTGGGATCAAATCAGAAACCAGGATGGTTTCTGTAAATCCAGGACTGTTCCTGGAAAATAGGGGTCCTTGGAAGGTCTGTATTTGCATGAAGAAACCCCTTTTTAAAAATCCAAACACCTTTAAATTGAAATGTACGCTGGGGACTTACTGTTGCAGGCTTTAAAACATTGTTTTTTATTGCTTGTTTTATATGCTTTATGTGTATATTGTTTTATTCTGCTGATATTGCTTTTCCTGGTGATGTTAAAACTCTTCTAGATGTATTAAGTGTGCGTGCACCCCAGGGAAGTCACTTTGGCGCTGCTAACACAGCAGTTTGACGTCACCCCCAGAGGCATACTCTGTTGTCTCTCGAGACAGATGGGTGTCCACAATAATAAATTTACCATTATTAATTTCAATGCAAGACACACGGACTATCTCAGGAGTGAGCCTGTTGTTCCCATGGAGGCTGGCACCTCACACATTTTAGAACTCTAGAAAATCACCTCAGTCACTGAACCTGCATTGGACCAAAAGCCAATGTGCAGAGGCATACCTAGGGGTTAGCAAAACCAGCCCCTGCTGGAGACAGAGGCCAAGGGGGACACACACAAAAATCAGCTATCAGACTAGGCAGTGTATGGCAAAAATGTGTGGCAATGAACCACTGCTGTTGTGGCAAGATCAAATGTGACACAAAGGTGATGGGGGTTGGGGAGGTAATGCCAATACAGCTTCTTGCCAAGGGTGCAAGGGACCCTAGGTATGCCTCTGCCAACGTGTCAGGCATGACAACATGGGTACATCATCCAAATACTTTTCCCCATTCAGAGTCTTAGCAGAGGTATGCACTGAAGTTTCAGTGTGTTTCCAAAGGCAGCCCCATAAACGGCAAAACACAGTAGCCAAATACATCCATGGCTGGAAGTAAGGGTACATATGGATGGCTTTGGATGAGATTCCAGCTTCCGATAGGTTGGGGAGCTTGATTATCTATGGCAAGGATGGGGAACCTGTGTCCCTCCGTAGGGCTGATGAGAGCAAAGTCCAAGAAACATCTGGTGGTCCCTTCCAACTCCAGTATTCTACATTTGCCTGAAGATTACCATTAAGTTGGATCATACAAACAGCCATCTGTTACTCTCCCACCCAGCCTATTTCCATTTATTTTCCTTTTTCGCCAAGATAAGAAAAAGACTTCTAAAAATACACAAGACTCACAGTTTACAAGGAGTGATGTTTACAGATCATACATTTTTTAAGGTGACGCAGAAAGTCCAATCTACCTTGGACACAGTTGTCCAACCTAATCTGGAAAGCAGCAGATTTGCCAATCGACACAAAATCGAACAGAAACTTGGCCTGTCTTTGCAGAGGTGTTCCTTGGCTCTGTGACGAGAAGCCAGTGGAGGGCTTGCTAGTCAAGAGACTCGTGCAAATGAGTGCCATGTCCTTTTGCTAAAGCACTAATCTGCATTCCTCAAGAACTATTGTTCCCACATTGAAAGCCTAAATATGCCTGCTATGTTTCTAAAGCAGAGTGTAAGCCTCTGATGGATGTGTGATCTGGCAGCTAGGGCCCAGAGTAAGGGCTGCCAAATAAGTCTGGATACTTCCCAATTCATATTTTTTCCATGTTTGCTTTTGTTTCTTTTCACTAGTAAAAAGGGACCCTGTGCTCTTTGCCCATTGTTTTTCAATGTCTCTGCAATTGTAATAACAATAGGATTCATGGTTGTACAGAAGTTGAATGACTCCTGAGAAGGTCATCCAAATGAGGTCCCAAAAGGACTTTTATGGAGATACAATTGCAAAAAATAAAACACATGCAAGGCACCATGCAGGGCATAAGCCTTCCAAATCCTATTTTGATTGTTTCTGAGCAGCACACTCTGTGTATGTGTGTGCGTGTGTCTCTTCAAGCTGAAAAGGTCATCAAGGGTAGAAAGGATGTTCAAGAATTGGTCATTCTCCCCCTTCTTTCTTTAAGCTCCAGTTTGGGGAAGGACCATAGCTCAGTGGTAGAGCGCATGTTTTGCATGCAAAAGGTGCTATGTTCAATTCCCAGCATCTCCTAGCAGGACTGTGAGAGATCCCTGCCCAAAACTTTGGAGAGTCACTACAAGTCGGCATAGACAATACAAAGCTAGAGGGTCACTGGTGGGACCCAAAAAAGCAGCTTCATATACATATATTCAGGGTAGATCTACTGAGAAACAGCCATAGCTCAGTGATAGAATCATTGCTGTGCACACAAGTTCCATCCCTGGCATCTGCAAGCAGAGCTGAAACCCTACAGAGTTGACAATACTAGATGGACCAGTAGTCTGATTCAGTGTAAGGGGACCTTCCTATGCCTCGGTGTTTTCAATGGGCAAAATAATCAAACCTGAAGTTTATGGTGAAATGTATTTTATTTGTTGGATTTTTATTTTTTTTTTAAAGCAACTGGTTTGCAATGTTGGGGATTTCTAGCATTTGGATTCATTTGATACAGTTTGACATAGTTAATGGCCTGCAAACTATTTGCTTGATTATGTGATTCTTTTTAAAAACAACAACAACACACGCATTACTCCACTGTCTCATCCTTATCTTCAAGCTCAGTGGCAAAAGGAAATAGGGGCATTCCAGGATGAAATCAGAAGCAGGGATTGCTTTCATAATTCTGGGACTGTCCCTGGAAAATCGGGACACTTGGAGGATATGTACTTGGGTCCCCCCCCCTCCACCGCTTCTTCTTCCTAAATACTTTTTTATGTCCTTCAGCAAGCGCTTGAGTTCCCACAATCCTGCTGATGCCTCCCTTTTGTTCATGGACCCTGCCATTTTGGTAGCCTAAGCAGAAGCAGTCTCCTCTGAATATCAGAAATAGGATATCAAATAAACCTGTCCTATGTTATTTGTATGATTTCATTAAATTTGTATGTATAGATGGAATTGGTTTTGTGTGATGGTAATAGTTTTAGCAATAAAAAAATGAATTATTCAACTTAGGACCCAAAAGCAGATATAATGCAGAAGGTGAGTCATTAGATCTCCTGGGCTTTACTGTTGTTGAGGGTTTTCTATAGATATACGGTAATTTAAAGGAGGAGGGAGACTCTGGTGTTGGTCAAAGAAGTGGCACTGGGAGAGAGATTGTTTTCTGTCATTTTCCTGACCTAAAGACCACACAGCTTCTGCAAACTTTCCTGGGGAGGGGGAATAGAGTTACCTATATGGTGCTTAATATATATTTTTTCCTAGTAGGAAAAAAAGAAACATGAAGCCTTTGTTCAGTGGTGGAACACCTGCTCTGCATGCAGAAGGTTCAGTCCCTGACATCTCCAGGTAGAGCTGAGAATGGTTCCCTGCCTGAAGCCCTGGAGAGCTACTACCAGTCAGTGTAGACAATACTGAACTAGATGAACCAAGGGTTTAAGGCCTAGTATAAGGCTTCCCATAGGCCTTTATTGGTTGTTCTCTGCGCTTTTTTTCTGGGGGGGGGATGCGGGGGTACACGTACCCCTAAACATTTTGTGAATCTTTGTACTTTTGTCCATTTACAATATTTATTTTTCCCAATTTGAACTATAAAATGGTGGTTTTTGATTTGAGTCAAAATGAGAGTACTCCTGAACATTTTTCTAGAAAAAAAGCACTGGTTGTTCTGCAATGCTTCCCAAAGTGAGAACATTATTGTTTTTTGGAAAGGCACTCTTGCACGACAGCACAACCAAAGTGGGACAAAAAATAAATAAATGGAAAATTTGCAGTACAGTCATACTTTGGTTTGAATATGCTTCATGTTGAGCGCGTTCGAGTTGCGCTCCACAGCAACCCAGAAGTAACAGAGCGCATTACTTCCGGGTTTCGCCGCTTGCGCATGCGCAGACGCTTAAAATGACATCACGCGCATGCGCAGAAGTAGCGAAAAGCGGCACGTGCGTGCGCAGGCATGCCGTCGCTAGTTACGTTTGCTTCTGGATGCGAACGGGGCTCCAGAACGGATCCCGTTCGCACCCCGAGGTACCACTGTATAAAAAGTTAACAGTATTTCAGCAGGAAGTTATGAGACTTACACTAAATAGGAACAAAGTAGTCCGTGCACCCCACCACACAACTTTTGCAGGTGAAAACAGTACAGTACTAAATGCATAACTGCTCCAAGTGCACCGTGAGCACAAATAATCATGAATGTACTATTTGTGAGTTTGGGGGCAGGGGAGGGTAGACTGCATGCCTGAGACTCTCCTAATTCCTGGGTCCAGCAAGGATTAAATTGTTGGAATAGCCAGACCGGCTTCTTGGTAATGACCTAAAATATGGGTTGATAGGGTAACAAAGGAACTGGCTCTGTGGCTCTGGTCAAATGGGGGGGGGGGGGGAGGCCTTCCTCAACTAGTAGGTAAGGTAAAGGTAAAGGGACTGCTGACCATTAGGTCCAACTCTGGGGTTGTGGCCAACTCTGGGGTTGTGGCACTCATCTCGCTTTATTGGCCAAGGGAGCCAATAAATGTGCTTTTGGACTGCTAGGTTGGCAGGAAACTGGTAGGTAGTTAGAAGGAAAAAGGTGGGAGTTCAAGTGTGTGAGAGAGAGCTGGACTAGAAGCAGAAGGCAGACAGAAACCTGAGAGGGAGAGAGATGCTTGATTCCTGTTCAAATTCAAGGCTGTGGCTATGGAAGAACACTCCTTATTGGAGTGTTAATGCTGTGAGCCCCTCTAGCAGGTTACATAGATGCTCATTGCATATATGTTTCAATAGACCATATATCCTGAAGACAAGGCGGTTTCTGCTGTCTCTCATTCCGAGGAAGCCGGACACTGGTTAAATGCCTGGAACCCCTGGAATCTCCCACCACTCAGAGATTTGGGTGGCGTGCAACAGGACAATAAAAATGATGTATGGAGGGGACATGTGAAATTTAGAAGACTTGGTGTAACTGGGAGTGGACGTGACAGAAAGGAGTGCAAGTTCCCTTCAGACTCCGACAGCAAATTCCCAGACTCAAAATGTGCACAGAAGCACCCTGTTCTTTAATTCTGTCTGTCTATCTGTCTTTTGACCCTGACTCTGGTGTACAAGGAACACAGTAAGCTGCCTAGTACCGAGTCAAGACATTGGTCCATCTAGCTCAATACTGTCCACACAGACTGGCAGTAGCCCCCCACAATTTCAGAAAGGGGGTCTCTCCCAGCCCAACCTGGAGGTGCTGGAAACTGAATTTCAGACCCCCTGCATGCAAAGCAGATGTTCTACTCCCAAAGCCTTGGTTCTTTCCAAAGTCAATCAAGTTTAAGGGGTCCCATAAAATGTAGTAGTTTCACCAAGTCTGTCCACTCCCTTAAGCTTAAGTCCACACACACACACACATTTTTATAGGTTGGCCAGTCCTTTTAATTTTTTTATATAAAATAAGTATTGTTTCTTTATCTGTTCCATGTCCATGCACCATTTAGGGCAGCCTACAATAATTTAAAATCACAGTACAACCAGAAATGACCGAGATAACAACTTCACAATAATTCACAATAAATAATTCACAAACACAAACCAAAATAAGATATTTCATTTCATTCTCCCAACTTTTTTTTAAAACTACATATGACCCTCCTAACCATTATGTTTAATACTTCACAATTTACAATTATTTCCCTATGGTTTTCCCAAGATTCTTTCTGTGTGTTTTTCTTCTTCTTGTAAACATAATAATTGTAATGGCTCCATCTTGTGGTGAGAAGAAGACTAGCACCCCATGTGAAACCGGGCCTGGTTGTCACTGAAGAGTTATCATGGAGAGTTAGCCACACCGAAATATTGTGCTACATTCTCCTGAGACTTGTCACCAAATGAATAAACCTGTGTCTGGTTTGTATGACTGCAGACTACAGGTGAGGTGGTTTGTGCTGGTTTGCCGCAAGGCTCACACAAGCCACTCTTGGGTTCCTATACCAATAATTAATAACTGTCACCACTTTGCAACTAAGCCAAGTTTAATGCCTGTGCAATTTTCTGAAGCATATTAATCTGACCTTTTGAGAAGTTTGTAAGTAAACTGTTTTTTTAACTTACCTGTGGTCTTTTCCTATGCTGATGAAAGAGGGAAACTTTGGAAAGAAACCTTTTAAGGAGTCAATTTACTTTGCCGCATGTTTTTGTTACTACTATTTTAAATCTCTGCTGGAGAGCTTTATGCCTGTGTCTCTCTGTGGTCCTCAGGACTCTTCCCAGTCTACACTACCTACCCCCAGTCTGCATCCCTCAATGGCCATTCTCCACGCCCTCCATAAGTGCCTTTGCTAAGCTCAAATGTGTCCCTGAACTGCAACAATGGCTTTAGCTTGCCTTTGTGGAGGATGGAGTACATGCAGAAACCTCTTGACTTTTGCATAGCTATAATGTACAAAGGTAAGATGAACACTTTCTACTCTAGCTACTTTTACCTCTGGCACTGTGCACCACTGCCATGAAGCCCCTGTAAGGTTGTCCATCAGGGCATGTGGCCCCCCCAGGATGAAAAAGGTTCCCCCACCCCTGCCATAAGGTCAGGAGGACTGAGAACTGTAACTGGAGTAAAAGCTTACTTAAAAAAGGTAAAGTGACCCCTGATCATTAGGTCCAGTTATGGCCGACTCTGGGGTTGCAGCGCTCATCTCGCTTTATTGGCCGAGGGAGCCAGCGTACAGCTTCCGGGTCATGTGGCCAGCATGACTAAGCTGCTTCTGGCGAACCAGAGCAGCGCACGGAAACGCTGTTTACCTTCCCGCCGGAGCAGTACCTAATTATCTACTTGCACTTTGACGTGCTTTCGAACTGCTAGGTTGGCAGAAGCAGGGACCGAGAAACAGGAGCTCACCCCATCGCGGGGATTCGAACCGCCAACCTTCTGATCGGCAAGTCCTAGGCTCTGTGGTTTAACCCACAGCACCACCCGCGTCCCTTAAAGCTTACTTAATTTGAATCTGTTTCAATGCGCCCACCCTGGCTTGTACCTCTTTGCTCAAGCGATCCGAGTCACTTCTGTTCATGTGGATCTGCCAGCTCTTGTGTCTGAGGATCAAGATCTCCTTTGCTTGCTCCACTGGTTCTGTTTCTCCAGGCAGAGTGTGCCTGTTGTATGCTGGCACCTGGTAATACACAATGCAAGCAAGACATGTTAATTGCTAACGCTTCTTTCTTTCTTCTTTACCCAGCGGAGCCGACTCATCTGTCCATTGTAGATTGGTTCATTTATTATATGTTATATTTATATCCTGCTTTACCTCTCCAAGAAGTTCAAGGCATGCTTGCCAGGACCCTTAGGCTATTTTCAGAGACCCTTTTCTGCAAGTCACTTCCAAGGGAGGTTCCAAAAGATTCCTGCATTGCAGGGGGTTGGACTAGATGACTCTTGTGGTCCCTTCCGGCTCTACAATTCTATGATTCTATGCTGGTGTACCACAGTGGACAGCAACTGTGCTTGTGATAGTGGCAGCAGTAGATGCTGGTTCATTAGTGTGAATGGAGCACTCCCCCCGAAACCTTAGTTTGCCCTCTACCAGTCCCCACCTGTCTGCCTTCTTACTTACAACCTCTCCAGGGAGTGGCAACACTGCCTGTGACCCCTTTCTCCTCCTAGGTCTCAGTGTTAACCTTGGATAATTCAGCAGGGAGGAGGATGGGGAGAAAACTAGAATCCTTGGCTCCACCTATCCATGGTTCTGGCGCCACCTACTGTTGGCCTCCCTGAATTCTACCCTACCAGTCCCAGTGAGCACTGACCACCACTGAGCTGAAATGAGCAGCAGCAGCCGTGGCATCATTAGCCTATGGTCGCATTATCTGAACCGCCATTAAGTTTCTCACAGTACCCTCAAACAATGCAACATTGGGGGGAAATGAATGTCACTTTAAGGCAATTGTAGGAAATTAGCATTGGTGGCTCAGACAGACCCAGCCACATTTTTGTTTACACAGCTATTGCTATCAACTAAAGAAAAAAAGCTCACGGTTCTCCTTGTTTTGTACAGGTTCCTTTCCAATATCTTCTGGATATCATCCACCACATCTAGATTGAGACTGTCCGAGTCATTGACTGTGGTGGGGTGTTTGTCATTGTTGCTACAGTGGGCGGGGAAGAGAGAAATAGAATATTATAAAGATGCTTTATATGAGGTAAGAGGACAACCGGTTACTGACCTTCAAAAATGGACATTAAAGCTGGAAGGAGAGAGCGAGTTCCGTTCTACTGCTGCAGCATGCTTTGTAGGACACAGAGAGACTCTTGTCTTTCTGCACATACCCCTTTAAATTACATTTAAAGTGTATTCTTTCCCATTACAGAATCCTGCAGGAACTACACCATTTATTAAAGTACAGTTCCCAGGGTTCTTTGGGGGAAATAAAGGTAAAGGGACCCCTGACCATTAGGTCCAGTCGTGGCTGCCTCTGGGGTTGCGGCGCTCATCTCGCTTTACTGGCCGAGGGAGCCGGCGTACAGCTTCCGGGTCATGTGGCCAGCATGACTAAGCCGCTTCTGGCAAACCAGAGCAGCGCACGGAAATGCCGTGTACCTTCCCGCCAGAGCGGTACCTATTTATCTACTTGCACTTTGACGTGCTTTCAAACTGCTAGGTTGGCAGGAACAGGGACCGAGCAATGGGAGCTCACCCCGTCATGGGGATTCGTACCGCCGACCTTCTGATTGGCAAGCCCTAGTCTCTGTGGTTTAGCCTGCATTTAAATGCATGGTGTGTATATGCAGCCTTGCTACTGAAACAGGTTTTCTTTAAAGATTGCACAGGAAGGTACTTTGTACCAAGTCAGAGTTGTTGAGCACCTGTGAGTCTCCAAGTGTAGCTCCTGTGGGTGTGATGCTATGCTTGGAAGTTCTCCTCTGGTGCCCACAAAGCCTCTGGAATTCCTTTCCCCGCATCATGAAGTGGTATGTATGCCTTCTATTCCCTTGAGAAGTACACAGAGCTGAAGGAGGAAGCTGGAAAAGCAACAGCCCTTCACAATCCTTCTTCAGCTCTGTGTATTTTTTCCAAAACTCAGGTTACTTCTGCTGAAGTGTCCAGAGGGCATGGGGCTCATGATACCTGCTAACAAAATAATAAGCTGCTTGTTCCTTTTAACTGCAGGATTGGACCTTGGCTCATCCGCATACAAGACATATTATCTACATCTAAACTATGTTCTTTCCCCAACATTTCACACGGAAGGGATGCTTGAGGCATTCGATCTTTCTCAATTTAAGAACAAACCAATCCGATTTGTACCTCTGGGACTCATGTGTGGGTTGCAACATAGCTGTCTATTGGCATTTGTACTTTGCCAAACACTGCAGCACAGTTCTCAACTCAAAACACATATCAAAGTACATTTTTTAATGCAGTGTTTTGAGAGAAAAGGCATTTAGAAGTAGGCATTTAAATATGAATTTCTCTCCGGAGTTATTTATTTGCAATCACCCTTTAATGCAGAAACAGGACACTGGAACATGGGAAGCTGCCGTATACTGAGTCAGACCATTGTTCCATCTTGTCTATACTGACTGGCAACAGCTCTCCATGAGTTCAGATAGGAGTTTTTCCCAGGCTTACATGGAGAAACCAGGGGTTGAACTTGGGACCTTCTGAATGCAAAACAGATGTTCTACCACTGATGTGCAGAGCGGCATGAACTGGAAACAGAGTGATCTTTCTTTCCATCCATCCATACCTCCTCCCCCAGTACCTGCTTATAACATGCAAGGAAGTGCAGAGTAATAGCCTGGCACACATGAAGATTAAAATACTCTGTATATGGCAACAAGTTGATAGGAAAATGGTCTGGTGTATGGGCAGTGCTGGGAAAGGGACCTCTGCCCTAGACCCTGGAGAGCTGCTGGCAATCCAAGTAGACCAACCTGCAACCCTTCATCAGATGTTGCTGACCTCCGGTCAGTCCCAGCCAGTATGGCCTACGGTCAAGGATGCCAGGAGCTGTAGTCTAACAACCACTCAGCCCTGAAACTCACTGGGTGACCTTGAGCCAGTCACCATCTCTTAGCCTAACCTACCTCACAGGGATGTTGGGAGGATGAAATGGGGAGGAGGAGAACAATGTACACGACCTTGAGATCCTTGGAAGATAAAGGTGGGGCATAAAAGTAATAAATAAAATAAACAAATAAAAATAAGTAGAGGGTACTTGGCTAGGTGAGCCTGTGATCTGACTCAGGATAAGGCAGGTTGCTACGTTCCTGAGATGGATAAGTTGTTGTTGTTGTTGTTGTTGTTGTTAAAATCCACTTACAGCAATGAGCTATGGGTTGGACCGCAAATGAGCTGCCCTGCTTCAGCTAGCTCAATGGCATGTTTCCTCTCCAGCTTTTCATATAGGAGCACAATGCTCGATTTGGGCTGCACATATTCCCGGAGCAAAAATTTCTGGAGATATTTGCTATTGAAGTATTCCAATCTGTCCAGGGAATTTGGGAGGGAGGGGAGAGAGAGAGAGAGACAGAGAGAGAGAGAGAGAGAGAGAGAGAATTAAGCTTTATTTCTGTCCATATAATGATCTCAGCAAAGATTACCATAAAGGAATTGGAATTCTAAAATACTTCTGAAAGCCCTGCTCCTGCACTCTTTCTATGCGCACTAACAATGTATGATAATTAAGCGTCTGAGGCATAGAGACACTATAACAAAATAAGAGAGCAAAACTGATTATAAATAATGAAATAACAAAAGGTTTTAAAATAATGAAAGGGACTAGGCAAGGTTGCCTATTGTCACCTCTTCTGTTTATTATGGTCTTAGAATCACTGGCAATTGCAATAAGAAAAGACCCAGAAATAAAAGGAATAGTAGTAGGAAGTAAACCTTACAAAATAAAGGCCTTCACAGATGATCTTATAATAACTACCAAAAACCCAGCAGAAAGTTTACAAATATTTTTTTTAGAAAGAATTTATGAATTTGGGAAGGTGGCGGGATTTAAAATAAATATAAATAAAAACAAACTGTTGGAAAAAAATATGCAAGCGCGGGTGAAAGAAGAATTGCAAATAATTTCAGGTCTGACAATAATTAACGAGGTCAAATACTTGGGAATTTGGTTTACAATTAAAAATAGCAATTTATTCAACGATAATTATATAAAGATACGGAAGGAAATTAAAAAGGATTTAGAAATATGGAACAGGCTGAACCTGTCGCTTTGGTGGAGAGTATTCACAGTAAAAATGAATATACTCCCAAAGATGATGTTCATGTTTCAGATGATCCAGGTGAGAGGGGGAATGGGAAACTTCAAGACATGGCAGAAAGACATATCAAGGTTTATCTGGCAGTGCAAAAAAACCTAGAATTAAACACAAATTATTAATAGACAATAAGAACAGAGGGGGATTTGCACTGCCAGATCTGAAACTTTATTATGAATCAGCTTGCTTATGTTGGCTAAAAGAATGGATGACATTGCAGAACTCAGATTTACTAGATTTGGAAGGTTTCGATAATTGCTTTGGGTGGCATGCCTACCTGGGATATGAAAAAGTTAAAACTCATAGAGGCTTCCTGAATCATATCATAAGGAAGCCACTATATAAGGTATGGGAGAAGTATAAAGATTTATTGGAACTAAAAACTCCCTGGTGGCTCTCCCCTCTGGAGGCGATTGCAGTGAAAAGAAAAAATATGGAAACAAACTGAGCCACATACAAAGACCTATTAGAAGAAGAAGATAACCAATTGAAAATGAAAAAATTCAAAAAAATCAGACATCACCTAACGGACTGGCTATAATATTACCAATTAAATGAGGTTTTTAAGACAGATAGGAAAAAGGGTTTTGCAACAGAAGAATCAAAATTAGATAAAGAATTAATACAAAATAAGAAAAGAGTAATATCTAGAATGTGCAAGCTTCTTTTGGAGTGGGAGGTGAAAGATGAAGAGGTGAAAGAAGTAATGATTAAGTGGGCAAAAGATTTTGGTAAGAATATCCAATTGTCAGCATGGGAAAGATTATGGAACGAAGAATGGAAATTTACGGCCTGTTACACACTAAAGGAAAATTTCTTGAAGATGTTCTATAGGTGGTATATAACTCCCAGCAAACTAGCCAAAATGTATAAAATGAGATCTAATACTTGCTGGAGATGTAAACAGGCAGAAGGGACATTGTTTCATATGTGGTGGGGCTGCAAAAAAATAAGAATTTCTGGGATATTATTTATGAGGAATTGAAAAAAAATGTTTAAGCAAAATTTTATAAAGAAACCAGAAGCCTTCCTCTTGGGCATTTTAGATTCAGATATTCCAAATGAAAAAAGGAGAATATCTGAATCTATATGCTACAACAGCAGCGAGAATACTGAATGCCCAAAAATGGAAAGAAGAATCAGTACCAACAAAAGAGGAATGGCAGGATAAATTATTGGAATATCTAGAATTGGCTAAAATGACAGAGACAATTAGGAGACAGCCAAACCAAAAGTTCAAAAAGGAGTGGGAAACTTATAGAGAATATTTTTAAAAAAGCATTGTCCCCAAGTCAAAATCTGGACATGCTTTGATTAAATTTCGCAAATTACAAGACAGATTCTAAGTATAGCATATAGATAACAGAGGAAATGGGGAAATGACCAAAGAAGCAGATTAACAAAAAGATAAGACAGACCCGCATTGAGGAAGACGGAAGTCTGTCAGGAAAGCTAAGTAATTGGAAATCAAGAATATGGTGGCATAAGCACATGATTTTATGCAGCTATTTGGATGTGATTGTTTTGTGTCTGTTTTGGATCAAGTTCTGTAAGTAAGGCTTATGGATAGAAGGTGTACCTGGGAATGCCCAAGGCCCGGAGGTCTTTGGCAGGCAAGTTAGTTACTCTAGAACATGCATGGCAAAACTTGGCCCTCCAGATGTTTTGGGACTAAAACTCCCACCATCCCTAGCTAACAGGACCAGTGGTCAGGGATGATGGGAACTGTACAGTGGTGCCCCGCAAGACGAATGCCTTGCAAGACGAAAAACTCGCTAGACGAAAGGGTTTTGCGTTTTTTGAGTCATTCCGCAAGACGAATTTCCCTATAGGCTTGCTTCGCAAGACGAAACGTCTTGCGAGTTCTTGCGAGTTTGTTTCCTTTTTCTTAAAGCCGCTAAGCCGCTAAGCCGTTAATAGCAGCTAAGCCGCTAATAGCCGTGCTTCGCAAGACGAAAAAACCGCAAGACGAAGAGACTCGCGGAACGGATTAATTTCGTCTTGCGAGGCACCACTGTAGTTCCAAAACAGCTGGAGGGCCAAGTTTGGCCATGCCTGCTGCAGAAGGTGCTGGAGGAACAGTTGGTTTCCACCTGAACCCAAGCCCTTCCCTCTGTCTCAGGCTCAAGAAACCAAAGTGGCAAGGAGCAGCACAGGCTGGCAAGCTGCATTCCTTTTTGGGCAACCTTCCAAGGCCCCATGACAGTGTTGGGTGCGACCAGAGGCAAAGTGTGGACAGAGCAAAAAATGAGAATTTCACCTATGTGCAGAAGGCTAATTTCTTTGTCCATGCATCCCTCTCTACCCTCCATTCAGGCCAGCAAGAAGTGTTACCAGAATTCAATGACACATCCCAGCCAGGCAAAAACACTCAAGGAGATGGAGCTGAAGGACAGATCAGGCTCTTAATCTCAGGGTTGTGGGTTCAAGCCTCACATTAGGCAAAAGATTCCTGCATTGCAGGGGGATGGGCTAGATGTCCCTCATGGTCCCTTCCAACTCTATAAAACTGTGATTCTGTGATTAAGTAGGCCTGATGAGGGGCATGGCCTAGGAAAGAGGGTGTGGCTGAAAATAGGGTGTGACCAAGGAAGGTTCACATGGGGTCAAACAGAGAGAGACCTGGAGGGCCATATTTGATCCCCATGCATGCAGTCCTCCTCCCTTGTTTAAAAGGAATTAGTTCTCCTAAACCCAGTGAAGGAAATTGGTATTTTATCCTGAAAGTGTGGAAGAAACCCATCTGCAATAACCATCTTGGCTTTGAAGAATCTTTTTTACTGACTCTTTGATGGTGCCACTGTGAAAAATGTTCTAATGCTCAGAGGGTGAGCAACACCTAGCAATGGGGAAACTCTTTTCTTTTGTAAAGAAACTTATCTTCCAAACAATCGAGTCTTGTGTTTCATGTTGAAAGAAAAAGAGGAAGAAAAGGGAAAAGCTGTCCCATTTTGTGGTGCAGCCATCAAGCAGCGCTGAGCCACCCCTAGCAGGGACTTTGTGAAAACAGAAATCAGGCTTGTGGATTTTATTTCTTACACTTACACATGTAGAGACTTGTATTGTTATCAAATCCTTACTTGTCTTTCCAATAATACTGTCCCCAGTGTCCTGATATATCTTCTATGCCAGCCAATAAATGATCCAAGAACTAAATGAGAGAGAGAGAGAGAGAGAGAGGATTTTGCTACATAAACTGTATTGCTGTTGCATAAAGTATGCACTCTAAGAGACAGCCCACAGCCCACAGTTTTATCAGCCCACACTTTTATCAGCCCACAGATAAAACAACACCACATTTTTGGCAAAGGAGACAACCAGTGGCGTAGCGTGGGGGTGCGGGGGGGCGGCCACACCGGGTGCAACATCTGGGGGGGTGCGCTCACACTCGCAGCTCTCTGCCCCCTGCTAAAATCCACGGGTTAGGGGGCGCAAATTACTTGCCTTGCCCCGGGTGCTGACAACCCACGCTACGCCACTGGCGACAACTGCAATTTTTTTAAAAAGGAAATTTGCCTATATAGCTTCCCATTTAATCCTCCACTGGTAGATATCTTCTCAACTGCCTTTCCTTAAAATGCTCAATTTTGTGCACTTATTAAATATATAAAAAACTGGTGGTGGGAGAGGGAAACAAACATAACAAAAAGCACTACATCAGTTAAGAGTGTTGTAAAGCGTGTTCTCCATAATAGAGAGCACGTGTTGCGGTGGGGGCCAAAAAGGCCACCACACTGTTGTTGGGCAAATTGGCCACATGCTGTGATTGGGCAAGGAGTGTTGCTGGGGAGAATGTTATGTTGCTAAAGTGTGGGAGGGGTCAGAGGTCTTGAATACAGGGCTCGCAGCCTGGGGCCTTCTCTTGGGCTGCGTGCACCGGATCACCCGCCCACCCTCCCTGAAAAGTGTGGGGGGGTTCGTTGTCCTCTGACCTTGCTATGCCTGTCATGGGGTCGTCTGCCTTGGGGCAGGGGCCTGGTAGGAATTTTGTCCATTTGGCTGATGGGCTGTTGCCATTTGGTTTTTGCCTACTGCGTAGCAAATCGTCACAACTTGTAAGGTTGGCGGTTAGGCATTGGTTAAAATTGATTGGTGGAGGGGTATGGATTTGGCTGTGCCTACCCCTCCAATGGTGGTGCTGAAAGGGAATTCCGTTAAAAGAATCCAGAGGCTTGCCATCCCTTTTGTCCTAGTCCCTGGCATCGGACTTGGGCCGTGCAAGCCCCAGGGGGCATGAGGGTGAGAGATGAGGGACTGATGCCCAGCTTCATTTCTCCCCATATGGTTCTCCCATACTGGCTTCCACTGGAATCTGGAAGTCAGTTCTGTCCCTGGGGCAAGGACAGATAGTCGTAACCAATGCCTAAGCAACCATTCACGTGTGTGTATTTAAATAAAGTTGTGGCCAAATTCATGCCAAAAACCTTAAAGAAAAATTGATGTGTGAAGTGTGAGTTATTGGGGTGGCCTGGGGGACCTCGACGCGCAAACATCCTTTTCTGGAATGTCATACCATAATCACCAGTTAAGACCTTGTGCAGAAGTAGATTCTGAATTTACTTTGAATGTGACACATACTCAGCTGCCATGTATGCAGGGTCCCCACCCCACCCCACCCCACCCGCAGGAAATGCCAGGGAAGGGCTCCGGTGGAACAGCAGCTGCTATGCATGCAGAAGGTCCCAGGTTCGATCCCTGGCATCTCCAAGTGAGGCAACCACCCCAGGTGGCAGGATCCACAGGGGCAGCATATCCTGATGCTGATTTTTAGTCCCGTCCCACCCCTTGTTCCTCATGTAGATATTAACTTGGCCCTTCTTCCCTGGAGGTTGGGGGGCCACCATTTTGGGGTTCACCTCAGGCACCAAAAACTATTGGGCAGGTCCTATCCCTGCCTCTCAGCCTAACCTATTTCACAGGGTTGATGTGGGGATTAAATTAGGAGGCTGAGAACCATGTACTCCACCTTGAGCGCCTTCTGGGGAAAGGGTGGGATAAAAATGAAATAAATAAATAAATTACTATTACACTTACATTTACGATTATACTTTCTTTCAAGGAGTTCAAGGTGGTATAAATACATAAAGCCTTGCTGGAGCAGCCTAAACACCTATCTAGTCCAGGTTCTGGTTCTCACAGTGGAAGCCTGATACCTGGAACACGAGCACAACAGCACTCTCTCCCAACTTATGCACCCCATTCATTAATATCCAGAGGCATACTGTCTCCAGGAGTGGGGAGAGTACTCAGCTATCATGACTGGTAGCCACTAGCCCTCTTCCAAACATCCTTGCTTTCCCAGAAAGGAGAACTTACCCGAATATGAATTTGTTCTCCCACGGTGGGAGCACTTTCTTGCTCTCTGGTGACGTCTAACAAGTCAACAAGAGGACGGATGGTCATGCCCTGCCGTAGAGTACAAGAATGAGGGAGAGAGAGAGAGAGAGAGAGAGAATTTGCACATTTCATTCAAAATCTATATCAATCACAGGGCAAATCATTCTCTCTGTTTCTGATGTTCAGTTGTGTGTGCGGTTGCTTATGGAGCCAAATGACACCATCTACAAGAGGAACCTGTCAGTGGGCTCTGAAAACTACAATATTAACAAGTAATATAGAAGATCTTGTGGTGAGGATGGAGTCCTAAGGTGTGGAAGAAACACAAAAACAGGCAAATGAGGGCTGGCCATGCTTGGTTATAGAATGCAGCTGACTTTGGGGAAGGAGGGCAGAAAACCCGGGGTTTGGAGGTTTGGAATGGAGCGTTCAGTAAGGAGGCACACCAAGCAGGAGAATTTAACACTACAACGTTTTGTTGCAGGTTCCACTTAATGGCTTTCTATTCAGCTTTTGGGGGTTTGCCCACTAAAGGAGGTCATGAGGTTCAACAAGGAATGAAACTGTGGGCCAAATGTAGATGCAACACCAATGCGTCTTTACATTTAACATGCAGGATTCAGTAATGTAAACTGAACCATCTGGGATGATGAACTTTACTGGCAATGTAGCAGGTACAGAGATGGGGTTTAACACTTCTCACTTCTGCTGTAGTCCTGAGGAGCTATTTGCACTGGGAAGAAAACCCTGCTCTCACCCAGTTAAATACCAGCTAAAGAAGGAGGTTCCCCCCCCCCTAGGATCACAGCAGGGAAGGAGAGCTTTTGGGGGTTCTCCTCCCAATATAATAAAATGAATTTATTAAAGCAAAATTACATTTTGTCTTTACAAACCACAGGTGCCCCTTTGAGATGCTGAAGGGGGCAGAATATTTAACAAACAAAATTGATCACTCGTAGTCAGAAGGTAAGGCCAACCTTCATATTTTCTTCCTGCTTTCTTAGTTTAGTATAATATGCCAGAACTAAAATAGCCTCAAAAAAATAAGACGTCTATCCTTAATTTGCACCCTCATCAGTTAAAATGGGCTGCCACTATTTTTCTTTTACTGTTTTTATTTATTTTAAGAAAGCAAATTTTGAGAAAACAATTGTTACAACGGTAAATAACAAATAACTTGTCCTGATAAAATTACAGACTTTTATCATGCAACAATTTCCTATGAGTGCTGGGTGGATTCCTGCCTGCCAAAATCCCAATCGCTACCACCCTCAGCCCAAGCTAATGCTGTTTGAAATCTGCATGTTAAATTTGAATTCACATTAATGTCATGTGTAAATAAATCACGGTAAAATGGGCTATACAGTGATGACTCTTTGCTTGTGAACATAATACAGTGGTGCCCCGCAAGACGAATGCCTCGCAAGACGAAAAACTCGCTAGACGAAAGGGTTTTGCGTTTTTTGAGCTGCTTCGCAAGACGAATTTCCCTATGGGCTTGCTTCGCAAGACAAAAACGTCTTGCAAGTTTGTTTCCTTTTTCTTAAAACTGTTAATACCCAGGGTGCATTGCTTGAAGAGGTGCAGTTGTGACTTGACTTCGAGGAGCAACTCATAGCACGCGGTGTGGTAGCCTTTTTTGAGGTTTTTGAAGACTTTGGTGATTTTTGAAGCTTTTCCAAAACTTATTTTGCAGCCATTTGGTAAGTTAAACTTTAAAACTTTTTTGGGGGTTTTTGGATTTTGGGTTGGGGTGTTTGGAATTCAAGGACTTGGTGTTGAGGAGGGGTTTGCAAGAATCTGGAAGCTTGTGTTTTTTTCTGCATTTTTCTGTTTTTTTGTGACCATTGGGCCACTCTGCTGTTGTTTTTTTAAAAAAATCTGGATTTGAATTTCTGTGTGGTGGGTGGCTGGGGGAACAGTTGAGGAGGGGTTTGCAAGAATCTGGAAGCTTGTGTGGTTTTTTTCTGAATTTTTCTGATTTTTATTGTTCCTTCAATTTTTGAATTTATTGTTCCTTCAATTTTTGAAATGCTCTTTACAGTATGTGTGACTTTAAATAGCACTTAATAAACTCTTGTTGTACCAAATTTGGCTTTGTTTGGACTTTTTTTGACCATGAATTTCAATGCATTCCTATGGGATTTTGTGCTTCGCAAGACGAAAAATTCGCTAGACAAAAAACTCACAGAACGAATTAATTTCGTCTTGCGAGGCACCACTGTAAATGGAAACCCTACATTCTATTGGTATTCCAAGATTTGGCAAATAGCACTTCTTGGGGGGGAAATCTGATGTAAACTCAGTGTCCGTAGGCCAAAGTGTTCGAGATCACTTCTTTACCAATTGCTTTAATGTTATATTATATACAAACCCTTTGGCTCAGGAGCATCAGGTACCACAGCTCTGGGTGCCTGTCTGGTTTTAGTACAGCTTTCAGATTCTTTTTTAAAGTGAATTTTTAAAAACAGTTTTGCTTTAGACCATGGAGCCCTTTGTAATTGTACGCCACACATCCCTGTGTTTAAATTACATAGTTGCATACTATATTTCTTTATTGAGAATTGTGACAACTAATCTTATTTATTTATTTTTTAAAAACCTATTTTTGTTCCATTTCTTTGTAATGCACCTGCCTGTCATTATTGAAACTCAGTAGAATAAAGTACAATAAAATAGGAATATGTGCATAGTTTCACAAACCTAAGCTTAACTGGAAATGCAGCTCATCCCATAAAGGATATCCATGTTAATGGTGGTGCTGTTGATGTTGTTATTTGGATTTATAACAAGTCTATATAACAGCAACAGCACCATATGATATAATTTCTATTATATCAAAAGTCCGGAATGCATTTCCAATGTCTATGGCCCCCTTTTTGTTTCTGCTTCAGAATATCATACCAGTTCTCTGTTACTAGTTTGCTTTACACTTGATTTTGTATTTTAATAAAATAAAATATATATTTTTAAAAACTCAATAAAGCTATTGGGGGGGACTATCCAGTACCCAGTTTCAACTTTCCTGTTTCAAGTTAGATATTTAAAAATATATTTAGGTCCCAGATGTGCTATAATTAAGGATGTAGTTTAGCCACAAGATGGCAGTGCAAGGCAAATATATACATTATATCTGTTTTACAGCACAGTATACTGTATGCTATTCCCCCCTCCACTCACCCCTCTCCACCCCATTAAGGGCACATGATGCCACAAAAAGACACGAATTGAGCAAAGTTTCTTAGAATCATAGAATCTTGCTCAGGAGTTTACAAGTATGTCTGTCAACAGCAACCAGAAATTTAATTCTGGTGAAACTCTCAATATCCTCTGCTGTAGGAGTGACAAACCTAGGGCTGCCATACATTTCAAAGGCCGAATTGATGTTTCATTGGCGTTTTTGTAAAAAATAATAATTGGGGTCTTCCTTTTTGAAATACGGCAAGCCTAGGCTATCTCTTGAAAAGCCACGGGTAATATGGGGAAGCAGAGTGCAATCATTTCAAATGTGCACCAGCTGGTACACATTTGCACATTTTCAGGTATTTTCTCAAGGTAGTCAATTGTCTTGCCTGTGGATTGGCTGAGATGAGAGGCAAAAGCAGCCCACCTTTGCTGTTGGCTTTTGGAAAGTGGCAATGGAGGCAGGGGGCACCTCAGTCCTTGCGTAAGCATAGGAACCCCTGGAGTCTTTCACTGGCAGGAGAATTGGGTAGCACACAATAATATGCACAGCTGCTGACAAAGTAGCAATGCCAACTGATGCCAGCAGCCCATGCAAGCACACAAGTGCATGGTGCTGACTAAAAATGTCCTGTGCCTCCAGTGTTGACTCCTTCACAACAGTTGTCCCCTTTTTATTCCAGCAAGCCTAACATGACTTATAATTTACCGTATTTTTTGCTCTATAAGACTCACTTTTTCCCTCCTAAAAAGTAAGGGGAAATGTGTGTGTGCGTCTTATGGAGCGAATGCAGGCTGCGCAGCTATCCCAGAAGCCAGAACAACAAGAGGGATCGCTGCTTTCTGAGATTCAGAATATTTTTTTTCTTGTTTTCCTCCTCCAAAAACTAGGTGCATCTTATGGTCTGGTGCGTCTTATAGGGAGAAAAATACGGGTAGTTTTCAGTTTTAAACTTGGTTGATTTTGCTTGCTTTGTTGATTACTATTTTACATTATTTTAAGCACACCACTTAGAGATTTGATTTCATTTTCATTAAGCAGTTTTTGAATTGCTCTAAATAAATAATCGTGTGTGTTGAGAGAGTGTCCAGATTCAGATCTGTGTGAAAATTTCATGGAAGGATGTCTTCAGAATAGTAGTTTACAAGTCTACGAGAAAACTACAATAGTAGTTAACAAATCTACTCAGAGGAGAATTACAGTCACAGCCTTCATTTTACCTGTACAAACACAGTGAAGAGGATCACAACAGTGGTTGCTGCAATGAAGAGCTTCTTTCTCGGATAGTCAGGGAGCAAGAAAACCAGGGAGAAACAGATGGCTCCTCTAAGCCCCCCATAGGCAATAATGAACTGGTCCTTGGGTGTAACGGTGTTGACATGTGATCTGTTTATGATGAAAGTCAGGACAAGAACTCCTAAAACAGATGAAGTAAGTTGGCAAGTTATCAGGAGTGAAAGGGAACTAAACTGGTAATTGTGAAGTTTAGGCATCATCTACTCTGTACTCCTCACATGCAGAGTTGCTTATGTTTCACTGCAGTTTGTCTTCTGCTGAAAACTACATTACATAAGTTATGGAACTGATGGAATTAACAGCATCGTCATCGTATTATTCCATCCCATGAATTTCATTGCAAAGGAAACACAATCCAAATGGTGGGAGGAAATCAATTACATATTGTTTGCAGACTGAAAGCAACAACAGTCCGTTCTGGACCCCTTTTTTTGCGGGAAATTCCCTTATTGCAGCATTGTTTCCCGCTGCTTCCCGCTGCTATCCCGGATTGTTAGATACCCCTTAGACTGTCCCCGGGACAGGTGAGACTGCTGATCCCTTATTTTCAAATCTGAAAGTTGACAGCTATGTTCTGGACATGGGACAAATAAGAAAACATCAGCAGTTTCTACTCCTGTTTCCATTGGAATTCTCCAACATCCCTAGTAAAGGCCAATCCCAATGCTCTGTAATGACTCCAGCAGTGACACAGGGGACAAGAGGCTAGTGATGGAGACCCAGAAAGCAGTACACACAAGACTCAACACATAGTCCAGGCCCAACACTAATGGACAATAACCAGGCATGAAAGCCCTGAACCTGGACCTCCAAATCTATCAGGGGGTTAACAGTCTCATTCCTAAAAGCTGCACACTCCACCAACCCTGCTTGCTGACACAGAAAACATACCCAGTGAAAAAATCTTTGGACAGGCAGCAACATGCTGGACTGCAATTTTAAGGCTCTGCATTTCTCAGAAAGGAAGTGGAGCCACAGGAGGCTCCCTAGCCGATGACTATGAAAGGGCCCAGTGGCACTTGAGTGCTTGCTGGAGGAAGTCATCTGCTGCCCCTAGGCCCTGTCTTGGGGCCTTAGAGACCTGCCTCTAGAAATTCTTTTTCTTTATTGCAAAGCTTGACTGGGGAAGGAACACCAGGGCTGGTGGAGAGGATATTTAATCCTTTCCTCCTCTACCACTTCTCCAGTCTAAGCATCTCCCCAAAAGCTGCTATTAACTGTTAAAAATACAAACACATACACATATATATGCACTATGCTTGCATTCTTCTTCCCAGCAGAACAAATAGCACTGGTGGTGGGTAGATACAGGGATGCATATGTAAATACTGTGCAATTGTGATCAGATCCATGCATGAACTTATACCATCTTTCAAGGGCTCTATACCTAGTGCTCTCCAAAGGAGACAGAAAATGACTGTGAAGCAAATGTACGACCAACTCCACTCATGATTGTCACCGATGGTGGAGACTCCTAGGAAGATGAAGATGAGGGTGTCACTAACACTGCTCCACATCTTCATGAAGTATTTAATGGTCGTGTGGGACTTCAGAGAAATGTTGGCCTCCACATAGCGTTTCATGCCCATTGCGCATGCAATAATTCTGAAAGAGAAAATAAAAGAAAGTTCCGCACACTTTTCCACTTCAGGCAACAGTGGGGAATCTCCAGCCCACAGAAAGCCACCAAGCCACACAGGAGGGCTTTACAAGTGCCAACAATCAGCCGATTGCCACTTGCAAAGTCTTGTGCCTTTGCATGTTCTGCTATGATTGCTGGCGCTCACAAAGGCATAGGGCTTTGCAAGGGCCAACAGTCAGCTGATCAACGGAGCCTTGCAAAGTTCTGTGCCTTTGCCTGTGTGGTTTGATTTCATACAAGGGTTTCCAGCCCTACCTAGAAATGCTGGAAATTGAACCTGGAGTCTTCTGCATGCAAGGCAGATGATCTACCACAAAACAATGGCTCTTCCCATTCCTTTCCCTTTCCAAACCACAAATCATAATGCAATACATGGACTGAGGGGTTATCCACCTCTTTTCAGGCATTTTAAGGCCTCCACTTTAAAGCTCTGTGTCTGAGTGCCCCTTTAATTTTTGCTCCAGACATGTCCCTGCAAAAACTTGCTCTCTAAAGCTGAATCAGAGCAAACAGCTATTTGGTTTTTCCACAGATTGCCATTTTCTTCAGTTCAGCTTTAAAGAGCAGGTTTTCATAAGTTCAGCTCTGGAGCAATTAAAGGGGTGCTCGGACATGGAGCTTTAGAGCACAAGCTGGAAAGCGCAGAGGAAAGGTAAGTGTGGATAAGCCCTGACAGACTACATTTGAAAGAAATCACATCCCAATTTCTGTCTGTTCATATAGCCACAACAAATAGGTTTTTGTCCCTGGGCTAATGTCTCAAAACTTTCTGTTTACCACACTGATTTCCACTGCCACCACCCTCATAATCCTAGCCACAATGCTGATACTTCTGAAAGCTTGCACTTTAGGCCCAGTTTGGTTCAACACTGAGCCATGCAAGCCTGAAATACTCTGAAGTTCCTCAATCTACTTACGCCACAATACCAGACAGGTGGAACATTTCTGCTGTGAGATAGGACAGGTAACTGTAGAGGAAGACAAAAAGGGGCTCGATCACACGAATATTTTTGGTGAATCGTGTGGTAAAGGCGGCTATCATGCCAAACAGGAGGCCCACCAGGACTCCGCCGATTCCGACCACAAAAAACTTCCCAATTCCTGCGAACACATCCGCTGTTTTAATTGATGGCATTTCACAGAAGGACCTGAACAGCTTATACAAGACCTAAGAAGAAGACAGAAATGAACAAAACAGAAAGGTTTTAATGGAGAGAGATGGAGAGAGAGAGCTTTACAAGGTGAGACCCCCATGTAGTGGAACATGTGGCAAATTAATCATCTCCATTTTTGCTTATTATTCTGGTCCTTTCACATTTGGTCTAAGCAGGATTACTGAATCCATAGGTGTGTTGCATTTATCTTTTGCATTTCCGGCATGGCAGAACCCAGTATGCAGCACACAGACATTCCCAGCGGTCTTCCATCTAGGCATTGACCATATCCAGATTTCCACATATCCAATCCTGTTCCTACTCCAAGCAGCTTGGGGCCATGTATATGGTTCTTCCCCCATACCATTTTATCCTCCCAACAACTCTAAGAGGTAGGCTAGGACAGAGGTGTAGTGGTCTAGGGTTGTGCAGTGCGGGAGGAAGGTAATCAAAGACCCATTACTATTTCTGCAGCAGGGTCCCAGCAGGGTCCTGTCTCCAGCATCTTACAGCTGCCCAATCAGCTTAAAGGGGGAGCTTTTTAACCGCTGGGAAGAAGTCTTCTCACTCTTTGGGCTGCTTAGAGTCCATCAGATTAAAATCAAGTTAGTTGGCCATTGAGGATTGGCTCCCAGGGTCACTCTGGAGAAGGCATGTGGAAAGAGCACCAAGGAGTTGTTCTCTGTGCTTCAAAGCTATGAATTTATGAAGACTGAAAACACAAGGTGCTTCAGTTTCAATAAATACTTTGTGCAATGGAACTTCAAGGAAAACACAAGTCATTCTGAAAGAAGATATTGGAGCACTTCAAATCATTTACTCATCTATGTACAGAGAAAATAGTAGGTCTGGCTGAAAGACAACACATGGAGATCTGCATTGATCACTGCAATGCATTCTCTAATTATTATTATTGTATGATTATAAGACTTTATAAGTCTTAGGGGCGGTATAATTTTAGAAAGGGGCATGGCTCTGGGGTGTGTGGCTGTGACTATCATGAAGTGACCCTGCACTTCTGTATTTGCCACCACACTACTCAGTTAGGATGAGGCACAATGACTGAGACCAAGGCCAATCAGTGAGTTCCATTGCTGAGCAAGGGTTCAAACATTTGCCTCCCAAGTTCTACTGCAACCACTACTCCATTCCGACTCTCAGCCCTCAATAAGGTTGTGCATCACATGCCATCAATGAATGACCAACACATAATTGTGTGATAACCAGCCTCATTAATAATAATAATAATAATAATAATAATAATTTCTTATTTCTACCCCAGCCCTTTGGCTGGGTTTCCAGCATGTCTAATTAATACATGAATGGGGTTAATGCCATAGAGTAAGCTGTCCTGCCAAGCTTAGCTAGGTCACTCCCCCTCACCTTGGGAGGAAGGTAATCAGGCCTGTTGTTGAGAAGCTCAGCATGTAAAGAGGTCTGAGCTGGTTGCTCCAAACTCAGACTGCATGGCTCTAATATGCCTTTATTGTGTTTCTATACCAATAATTTAAGAACTTTCAGCACAGTAACTCAAGTGTTACTGCCTGTGTTTTCTGACTGACATATGGAAAAGCACATGAACCTAACCTTTGAATAATTTGTAAGTATATATATAAAAAAATAACTTACCAAATGTGTGGTGTTTTTCTATGTTGGGGAAGAGGGGAACTTTGGAAGGTACTTAGAAGGGCCTATTTTAAAGGTCTAACAGCCAAATTTTCACGCTTTACTTTGTTGTATATTTTGTGATTTTAAATCTCTGCTGGGGTTCTCTCATCAAAGAGTATTTGCCCCAAACCTGGATCTTGGCATCCAGGGGATTATCCTTTTATATACCTATTTTTCCTAGCAACCAACAAAAATTCCATCCATCCAAGCGAGCATGAAGCATTATCAGAATTTGAGGAAACAATCTAGGCAGGCAAAAATGTCCAATGTGCAATGCAGGTCTGGTGAAGGATGTGGCCTGTAGAGAATTGATTTGACTGGGGAGAGGGGTGAGACTTGGGAAGAGACTTGAGGGCCAGATAAAAAGGCCTGGGGGGCCACATTTGGAACATGGCCCAGAGGTTTCCCGTCCCTACCCTAGAAACAGCACTTTGATGTACATCAAGGTCTCAAGAAGACATACTTACAACTGTCACAGCATCATTGAGAAGAGATTCTCCAAATACCAAAATGTGAAGCTTCTCATTGACATGTATCTCTTCGAACACAGACAGCACAGCAACAGGGTCAACAGCTGCAATCAAGCTACTGAACAAGAGGTTATGAAGCAAAGATATATCACGTAGCTGGAAGGTGTCCACTTGGCATATCCCATAGAGTGAGAATCCAATTCCAAAGACGTTCCATATCGTCCCCACAACAGCATATAGGAGGATTGTCCCAATGTTCTCAAAGAAGGGGCGACTGGGCATGAAATAGCCAGCATCCAGGACAATGGGTGGCAGGAGGTAGAGGAAGAAGATGTCACTGTCCATGACCGGAGGGGATTTGTCGTTTAAGCCATAAATGATCCCTCCCATGATAAGCCCCACGAAAATCAATAAGCAGCTTTCGGGGACAACGGAAGGTAGTTTCTCAAACAAATGGAAACCTGCAAAGGTCAAGAGGCAACATTAGTGGGAAATCAGAAGCATCTGTTGCTTTGTGGTCATTTCAGCTTATGTGCTTGTGTCTCCACCAAGCCAAGTGTTGTGTGAATTGTGGGTCAGGAAGCAGAAACTAATCACCTGGTGGGCTGGAGTCAGAACTAGTATGCATTAAAGCTGAACCTATCAAATTCCCACTTTCCAAAACAATATGGGAAATCAAATACTATCCTTCAAAATTTGCACTTCTCCAATTTTGTGATGCAGTTCTTCAAATGACATTTACAAAAAAGCATGTTAGGGGAGACGGTGCATAAAAATGAAGATATTGGTGAACATAACACATACAGTAAAGTGGAGAAAATTGCTTGGGGGGGAAAGGTGCACATGAGTAAAAATGTGGTTATTTGTGATTATTAGGAGAAATGTGCACTAAAATGCTGGTAGGGATTATTCAGAGACTTTCATTTTTGTGTCGTTTTCAAGGGACTTTTGATTTGTTTCATTTCAATGGATGTGCATTTTTTAAGCTTAGTTTATCATAAAGGTGGCTGGGGGCAGTGTGGCTGTCTATGGTAGATGGACTGTGGCTAAAATTATGTGCACACTTCTTTTCAAACCAGCAGTGGGAGCACAGTAGATGCAGGGTAAATAGGTCTGTACAGTGGCGTCGCAAGGTCGGGGCGGGGGGCGGTGCACCCCTGGTTCCATGTCTGTGGGGTTACAAGACGGCACCCCGTGGGGGTGCTTGCCCTGCCACCCCGGCCTGGGTGTGTCGGCACGAGCAGCCATTGCACCGCCACAGCCGCATGTCGAGGATCCTCCATTCGTGGCTGCAGCCGCGAGCAGAGGATCCCACCACTGTCCATCTGTACGACGTTCAAGTGGCACCGGCAGCAAACCACTATGTACAACGCATGTGTGGTGTCACACACATGTGCTGTACATAGCGATGCCGCACATGAGCTGTAGATAGCGGTCTGCCACTGGCGCCACCCGACCACCGTACGGATGGCAGTGGGATCCCTCTGTTGCCACTGCAGCCGCAAGCAGAGGATCCCACCACCGTCCGTACGGCACTCAGGCAGCGCCGGTGACAAAACGCTAGGTACAGCGCATGCGTGGTGTCACACACATGCACTGTGTGTTGCAACGTCGCACATGCACTGTACTGATGGCGGGGGGGTCCCTCCACCACCGGCAGGAGCCACTTACAGTGAGCTGGCAGCCCCCCCCCTCCCTGGCTCTCCGTAAGCGGCTCCTACTTTGCAGCTTTACAGCGAGCCAGGGAGGGAGGGAGGCTGGGAGGGGGGCCGCCTGAGAAAAAGTTTCTACCCAAATGCGATTTTGGTTTTAAACGCAGTGTAAGGAGTCTCTATGAGAGTATATTGTATTTAAAAATGGGGTATCAGAGTTTTTAGGGGGCTAACCAGGTTGGGATAGCTGGGATAGCAGGCTTGTTGGGTTTTGAATGTTTTATGTAGATTTTTCAATTTCGTTGTTCTGTATGGGACAATGATAATAAAGATTATTGTATCGTATCTTGGGAGGGAGGGGGATGCACGGGAGCCGTGGCTCCTGAGAGGATGAGCTGTGCAGCTTTGCCAGCACCCTGGCAAAGCGGCATCGCTCCCCCCTTTCCCCGATGGCTCAGGGTACTTGGGAGTCGTGGGGGTGGGGGCGCAGAGGTGTAGGAAGGGGGAGCGGACCACCCCAGGTGTCTTCGCTGAGGGGGTGACATTTGGCACCCGCCCATGACTCCCAAGCCTACACTGAGCTGTCGATTTGGGGGGGGGGTTGACAAAAAAATTTCCGCACTGCGTACCACCTGGGTTTGCTATGCCTCTGGGTGTGTATACACACTGTCTAGGTGTTTCTTTCTAGTAAGCATTTCTCCAGCATTCTGCAGTCTCCCTAGCTGCCCACTTTTCCTGATCTAAAAAAGCCCCTAAGAAGGAGATACCTCGTGATGTCTTCTTCAGAGCTTTAACTGAATTGCAGAAAGCGGGGGGGAGGGGGGCAGGAGGTGGTGTTCCTGCAGAGTGCGGTCATTAGCTAAATAGTTTTTAGAATGTATTTATTATTATTTAATGTATTCTATCCTGCCTTTCTCCCAAGCTGGGATTCAAGGCAGCTTACAACATTTAAAAAAAAAAACATCATTATAAAATACAAAGTAATAAAAACAAGGTCGTTAAAAACAATTGTTAAAATGCATTGAAACACATATAGGACCATCATTATTAATTAACCAGCAATTAAATTACGCTTTGTCCTGACAGCAGCCTAAGTGGTCAGCATTGTCTGGACCTTAGTTTTCAAATGCCTGTCAGAATAGGAAGGTCTTAGCTTGCAGGTGGAAAGACAACAAGGGGGGAGCCAGTCTAACATCTCTTGGAAGGGAATCCCACGATACGGGAGCAGCCAGAGAAATGACTTTTTTCTTGTGGCACCGCCAACCGTGCGGTGGATGGGATTAAGAGAATGTGCTAACCCAAGAATCTTAGCATTCAGGTGGGTTTGCAAAGGGACATAAGATCTTTTCGCTAACCAGGGCCCAAGCTATATAGAATGAAAGAAAGGACATACACAAACATCCCTTAGCCACCTCAAAATTAAGGGACGCACAATGGGGGGGGGGAGAATCCTGTATCCCAAGCATTTTCGGATCAAGCCCTACCTTTAAAAATAGCTAGAGGTATTTAGATTTCAACAGCTGCTCATTAAATACTTTTCCAAGCAAAATATATGATGTGGTCAACTCAACATAATCTTTCAGAAAGACATTTAACTTTTTTTAAAAAATATATATACTCAGGGTTTATTGTCTGCAGTTCCAAAAAGCTTTTGAGTGCTTGTAATCAGAGACAGCTTTATTAGTTGTGGAGAATTCAATTTAAATGTACGTGAATCATTCATACTTCAAATGAACGGAAAACATCAATGCAGCCTTCTAAAGCCCTCCATCCATACTGCTGCACAATGCAGCCAGCTAATTTGTGCATCTGAATAATACATTAATGGGGGGATTCTTACTGTCTCATTGGAAAGATTCAGCTGTTTTATTGTTCTTGAAGGAAACAAATGGATTGGAGGAGGTTGGATTTTTTTTATAGACAGATAGCAATCAGAGAGGCCTGTTGCAGAGTCCCTGTACAGACAAAACAAGAGCTTCAAAGTGTTACAATCAGTGCTTTTTTTCCCTAGAAAAAAGCACTGTTTACAATTTAAACCATGCATTATGTTATGTCACAGTTTATATTGCTAAAAATAACTCATTGATATGCCTCTATAAAGATTTGGACGTGGTCTGATTTCTTTGAACTTTCTTGATTGTTTCACAGGACGCTGGTGTACAGTTTTGGCATTTGGCATTGCTGTTAAACAAAAGCCTCTACATGCATTTCAAAACGGTACCCGCAAGAGGCATGGTGCCCAATAAACACTCGTAATATATACCTCACCCCTAGAGATGAATGGATCAGACTTTCTAAAAAAATTCTTCCATTTTTCCAATCTTAAATTCAGCTTTCCACATTTCCGCATCAGTTTGCAAACCGTTTTGTTAAGTCCTCATGAAAATTCACCAGCATATTAGTGTGAATTTATCCTAATATACAGCTTGTTGCAAGCAGTTATACCTAATATGATGCCTTTTTGTACTTTCACTATCTTGTGCATTTTTCTGCAACACTTCCCCCTAACATTATGCACGTTTGTTCGCATTATCTGGCTGAAGAACCATGTCACAAAATACAGCGAATTTCAAAGTGCAGCTGCATTTCAACTCACATATACTTTTGGGAAGCTTGTATTAGGTATGTTCAGATTACAGTGCAAACCAAACCAAATTTATCCACCATCCCAACCCACTCCCTGGGACTAACACAGAAAGCTGCCTTATCCCAAGTCAAACCAATGGTCTGTCTAGCTTCATATTGTCAACACTGACTTCTAGTGGTTGCAGGTATGAGTCTCTCACTTCCCTAACTGGATGATAGTCCAGAGAGAAGAAGACTAGATGGGCTTTAGATGCATTTGCTTGTCTTTTCTTCTAAATCCGTATCCTCAACCTGGGAACTTTTGCACGTGAAGCAGATGCTCTACTACCCAGCCCACCAACCCCTGCCTGGAGAAACATACCTATTTTAGCCAAGGAAGCCAACATGATCCACAGGGTAATCTCAAAGGGCACTTGGACATGCTGATAGTCTAGAGAGAAGAAGACTGGGTGGGCTTTAGACTCATTCGCTTGGCTTGTCTCCAAATCCATATCTTCAAGAGACTCCATCATCGTGGAACTCTTGAAGGCAGCAGCTACTGGCAGAGAGAGGAGGACAGAGGCAGAGGATCCCAGAAGCCAAAGTCCTTGCATGGCCTCCCGTCCAAGGATCAGAGCCTCCATCTGCCAGTTGGAGTTCTCACTGTCAGGGGAAGTGCCAAGCTGGCTGGCTGGCAAGCATCTGGCTGGCTGGCTGGCTGGCTGGCTGGCGCCCAGCTCTTTTGCTGCTTCTGCCTGAGCGTTCTGGAGGCTGCTCTACTTAATGCACCCTGCTGCATGCTGTAAATTATATGGATGGGTGTGCAAGGGGAAGAGCCACTGCTGGAGCAGGGAGTGAGGGGAGAAAGAGTCCCAGCAGCAACTACCTACGTCACTTGGAAAATGCATTTTCCACTTAGCCAGATCAAGACATTCTAAACTATGCTGCCTAACCTAAGCAATCCTTCTAACTTTGCAAAACAAAAACAAGCCAAAGAGGCATATAAACCCAGGTTGCAAAGCAGGCCAGCCTGATGTGAACCAATTCATAGAGGGTGGTCCATTAGGGGCACATGGGACACTGTCCCACTAACCTCAATCTATGCTCAGCTAGCTCCTACCTGCTTGTCTATCTTCCTATTTTCAACCAGTCCAGTGAGTAGTGTTGCCTGTCAGCTTCCTCCTCCTCTTTCTTAGTGTGGCCCTTACAGAACTCATCAGGAAAGCGGAGGATGGGGACAAAATGTGAATTAGCTACCTCTGTCCGTCACTGGCTCTGGATACACCTACTCTTGGCCTCCTTGCCTTCCATCCTACCAGCCATCACTAGTCACAGAGTTGAAGGAGGCCTCATAGGCCTTCTAGCCCAACAACCTGAGGGGAAGTTCCAGCAACGCCAGATTTAGGACAGTACAGGTGGTTCCCTTGCACTGGGTGCTGAGCCCAGAGGGTGCACAATCAAAAAGATCCATAATTGAGAAAAACCATTTTGGAGCGCCCAATTTTGGCCTCACTGAGAGCACCATATTACCAAAGATGACCAAAGTCCGCTCCTGGCTCCAAAAAATTGGTTCCGTGGTGAAACTGCTCTTACTAATCATTCATTTTTCCTAAAGTTCAATTGAAATCTACTTTCCTACCACTGAAGTCAATTTGTTTGTTCATTTAAGAGGATCTATACATGCTGCCTACTACCTAAAGTTCTCAACGCAGCTTACAATACATTTAAAACACAATGAGATAGACAATGAGGACAATCAGCCATTGCAGCAGATCCAAGATATTTATCTATACATACACAAATACCTTTATATATACATATTTGTGTGTGTGTTCCCATAAGATCCTTCTCATAGTCCAAGCAAAGCAATATGTTCCTAGGCAAAGGGGTCAGTTTAGGGGCAATGCAGTCATAGTAGGACTTCCCTAACAAAAGCACAGGTTTAGTAACTCAGCATGTGTATCTGAATTCCTGAACTGAGCTATTGATGTGTGTCTGGCTCTCTGCTTAGGAGTTCAAATGAAAATTTTCAGGTGGGCAGGTGGAGCCTACCATACGCCACCATACACATTGTGCAGCTGAGTCTCCTGGCCTAGAATTTACAATTCAGTAGCTCAGTGTTCCTCCCACACAGGCCAAGCACTTGCTCCCAGAGTGGCTGCTGATGCCTCTCATAGACCCTGGCCTTGGTGACAGATGCAGAAGGTGCCGGGGGAGCAAAGGCATTAACAAGCCTCCCAGAGCTGTTGCAAGCCTCCCCTCGTCCTGCCCTGTTGGGGTGGCAGAGAACAAGCTGTTGATTTTCATGCAGTGGCAACATCAGGGAGGGAAGTGTTAAGTTGTGGGTGAACATTTCAGACGACACAGCGATTCTTCAAACAGCTCTTGTTTATTCACAGACCCAGAACAAAACAGAACTGAAGGGTTCAGCCAACCTGCTTATATAGAGCTCCACTACAACGTAACAGTAACAACTTTCTGTAACTATCCAATCACTGAACAGCACTTTACATTCCTTATTTGCATACGTGGACCTGAGTGAAAACTATCTAAAGTATCCCCCTGCTGGCCCAGGGTGAGAACTTCAGTACATAACAGGAAGTGTGCAGAGAGTCCCAAATGCAACAAGGCCAGCTTATACTTTGAAGTAAATGAAGCAATGTACATTCATTCCTCCCATCTTCCAACCTTCTGCATATGCACCTCTAGATTTCATATCTGTTATTGTTTGAAATATTGATCCTGCCATAAGCTTTTGTAGACTACTGCCCACTTCCCCAGAAGCAGGAAGTAAGGCAGTGGGGGGGTGTATCCACACATACCTTTAAAGCTAGGAGCTTTAAAGCGCTGTGTCTAAGAGCTTTGGTCGTCGTTGCCCCAGCACTTTCCACACGAAGAGCAACTCTTTAATGCTGAATTGGAACAAACAACATTTTGGGTTTCCTGCAGATTGCTGTTTGCAGCAGTAAAAAGCAGCTTTTCAGGTGGAAAGCACCAGGGCAAAGCAAAAAGTGCTTGGACACAGCGCTTTAAAGCCTGAGCCTAGAAACACTGCACAGAGGGAAGTCTGGATGAGCCCTGTGTGTATGAAACTCAGGTTTAATACTTCATGCTTCTGATGAAGTGGGCAAGGACCCACAAAAGTTCATACCACGATCCATTTGCTAGCCTTTATATGGTACTGCCAGACCCTTTCCTGTTCCTTCAGATACAGAAATTCTCTGTACAAAGGACACAGGGCCACCCTACACATTTTGGGACGCAGGGAGCACAATTGCTGATATTATCAGGTATATTAATGATGTGAAGCCCTACGTAGTGCACAGTGTTCTACTTGGTGCACTGGAGTCAGTGATGTTATAGCTGGAATTCGAAAGGGCACTGCTAATTAAAACGTGGAAGCCCAAGGCTAATACAGCTGGGTGAAAATCAATGGCCCACTTTGGCTCCAGCTTCCTAAATGACACCAGACCTGAACTAAGGGCAAATTAGTGATCTATTTATTTCTCTTCTAATTCAAATCAAGAGGAGGGGGGGTCCAAAACTGCTTGTCAACACCAGCAAAACATAACCCCCTTTCTGATGCCATTTTTAGCACACAGCAAGGGTGCAAGGAGAAGTCCTCCTGAAGGATTACAGTATTACATTCAGCAGCACCTTGGCCATCAAAGAGCCAAACAACCTTTTCCCCTACAGCTTTTTATAGAGATGCATTAGTCACGGGCACTCTTGCCTTGACGATTCTTTATTGAATGAACACTGGTGGTGGTGGTGGGCTATCTGGGCTGGCCGGAGCGTTATGCAGAGTGAGGCAGCCACCTCAATCGGCTGCAGAAAAAGGAGAGAGAGTGGAGGAGGGATGGATACGGGATAATGGTCTGTGTGCAACAGAGAGCTGAGAAAAGGAGGAAGGTGGGGGAGGAGGGGCAAAGGGTGTGAAGGGGGAAATGTGGGTTCAGCAGCAGAGGTTTAAAAAAAAGAGAGGAGGGAGGCTGATGATAAAAACTGTGAATGGGGCTGATGATAAAGACTGGTGCATGAAAGGGCCTGAGGAATAGGAGGGGTGGGGGCATCATAATTGTGCTGGTGGTGAAAAGGCAGCTTAATAGTTGTGATGCAATGGGGGAGGAACAAGGTGCAGGAGGTAGCCATGGGGGCTGCACACAAGGAGAGGGGAGGCAAGGACGTGGTGGTGAAGGTGAAAACGGGTTCAGAGTGGGGCTGCAGAACAGAAGAGAGAAGTGGCTTCGGAAATGGGGTTGGGAAAGTGGAAAGCAAGCTTAGTAGCTGCATGGGGTGGGAAGGGAAACTCTGGGGGTTAATGGGGGGAATGGCAGGGGGTGTGGGTAGAGTGAGAAAGGGCTCCGCTGCTAGTTTGTGAGCTATGTTTCCTCCCGTATTTTTCTTTCCTCCAAAAGGATGAACTGGATTCTCCAGAAGGAAGGAGGGCTAAAAGGAAAAGCTGTGTAATGGTCTGGAACCATTTATTTTTAATCAATAGCCATTTGATCAATGTGGTGCATAAAAGGGTAGAACAGGGAAGCTGTAAACCAGGACAAAATATGAATTATCATATTGGAGTGTTGTTGTTAATTAAACATGTAATTGTATTATTTATAAATGCATCTACAAAGTATACTGTCAACAATAGCAAATAAAAGAGAAGGAAATAGTATATTAGCTAGCGTTAATATATCATATTAACAATACTATCAATAGAGAAAGAAAAACAGAGGAGAGGAGTAACAAACAGATCATTGTTAGTGTTGCTCCTGTTGCTATTAAGATTGATATGGATGCCTTTCCAAAAATAACCCTCACTTTTTAATCTTATTTGTTTTTAAATGGCATTTGTATGCAGCCGCATAACATTCTCTTCCAAACACAACAATGTTAAAATTACAATATGCAGTGAATCAAATCAACAGCAGGTCATGCAAGGCAGCAAAAAGCCTGCCTTTCGTTCGTTGAAACAGAGACAGGAGAGACAGTTTACAGCTCAGATTAAAACTACTCTAAGCCACAAGTAGTACATTATTCCAAGTAACATTTATTTGTTTATTCAACATATTTGTTTCCTGCCTTTCAGGCCAGTGACCACACCTGGCACCCTTTTCTCCAGAACAGCCGGCTGGATCAGGCCCATCTCACAACAGCAGACCAGATGTCTGTGGGAAGCCAAAAAGCAGTGCCTAAATGTAACCCCACTCTCCCCTCTTGTGATCCCCAGCAACTGATATTCAGAGGCATACTCCCTGCAGCAGCAAAGGTAGAAATATAGCCGTTCCTGCTACTTGCTAGGGATAGTCTTATCCTTTGAGAATCTGTCTAATCCTCGTAAGAACACATGAAGAGCCCTGCAGAAGAGCCCTGCCAAAGGCCCATCTAATTCAACTTCTCGCAGTGGCCAACCAAGATGCCTCTTCTGCAGGGCCAAGAGAAAAAGTGAGGTGACCGCCTCAAGCAGCAGGATCCATAGGGCAGGAGATCCAGCCTCCAAGGAAAGCATCACCCTCCGCTGCTGCTGCTGCCA